AACATATATATTCTGTTTTACAATAGCATGTATATTCTGTTTACTATTACATATATGTACATGTATATTGTTTTTACTATAACATGTATATTCTGTTTTACTATAACATGTATATTCTGTTTTACTATGACATGTATATTCTGGTTTACTATGACATATATATTCTGTTTTACTATGACATATATATTCTGTTTTACTATAACATGTATATTCTGTTTTACTATAACATGTATATTCTGTTTTACTATAACATGTATATTCTGTTTTACTATAACAGGTATATTCTGTTTTACTATAACGTGTATATTCTGTTTTACTATAACGTGTATATTCTGTTTTACTATAACATGTATATTCTGTTTTACTATAACATATATATTCTGTTTTACTATAACATGTATATTCTGTTTTACTATAACATATATATTCTGTTTTACTATTGCATATATATTCTGTTTTACTATAACATGTATATTATGTTTTACAATAACATATATATTCTGTTTTACTATAACATATATATTCTGTTTTACTATAACATATATATTCTGTTTTACTATAACATGTATATTCTGTTTTACTATAACATATATATTCTGTTTTACTATTGCATATATATTCTGTTTTACTATAACATGTATATTATGTTTTACAATAACATATATATTCTGTTTTACTATAACATATATATTATGTTTTAACATAACGTATATATTCTGTTTTACAATAACATATATATTCTGTTTTACTATAACGTATATATTCTGTTTTACTATAACATATATATTCTGTTTTACTATAACATGTATATTATGTTTTACTATAACATATATATTCTGTTTTACTATAACATATATATTCTGTTTTACTATAACATGTATATTATGTTTTACTATAACATGTATATTCTGTTTTACTATAACATGTATATTCTGTTTTACTATAACATGTATATTCTGTTTTACTATAACATATATATTCTGTTTTACTATGACATATAACCATAGGATCTGTGACTAAGACAGGTAATTAGCCAAGGCATTGATTGAAAGCTTATAACCACAGGATCTGGGATTATGACAGGTAATTAGCAAGATTGATAGCACATCATAACGTCTTCATATTTTTCCTGCGTTCAATAAAGTTGGTTTATATATCAATAAAATGAAAAAAAATTCTTACCTTATCAGAAAGAAGTATTTCCGTTTGGCTACACTTTAGTATACTTTTGTGTTTAAAGAGCAAATGGGACACGTCAATCAGACTACTGATAGTAAGTCTGAAGCTAAATGGTCTGTATGAAGGTTCATCAAAACAATATAATTCACGCATGTCCACAGACTGATGACCTTCGTCCAGAAGACATTGTAGGTTTCTGAACCAATGTATTACCCAAACATCCATGTTCTTGGAAAATATGTAAAAGGGTCTGAGGACGCGATTTTTACAGGAAGTCTTGTTCACTTCTTTGTAGACATCCCATAACACGTAATCAAAACCATTGAAGCAGTATCGTACTTTCATTTCTCTTAATGGCTCGAATCGGTAACCACAATATTTACTCTTTAACCGCAACATAACTGAATCTTTCAGTGAAAGTGTAGATTGAGAGTCATATTGGTAAAAATCGCGAACGCATGTTAAATTCAGCGACCATGGAACCCAATCATGTACATCGTGACATAACGCACACTGCCAATTCTTAAATGAAACATTAGTACGACTGTCAAACACAGGTAACAGGTCGTAGAAGTCTATGTCGTTGTTCTTTTCACATCTATGTCTAACATCATCATCTCCTTTCCATGTTGCCGGACAAGCTGACACCATGAAAACTCCCCATCCACTTAGGGACTTTTTATCAAACTCTATACGCTCACATGTGGTCTTCTCAAAGAACCGAATTTGAAATTTATTCATATTTGGTTTTTCTTCAGATATATCTTCTGCATCAAAACAGCAGTCATCGTAATACCAACACAAAAGGTCACAACGGCAATAAGTATTGTTGGGACTTTTACATGAATGAAGCTTCGCGTGGCAAGAATCATGAAACGAGGAATAGGATTCTGTGCTCAACGCTGAGCACAATCCTATTAAGTACAAAACGTTGAAAAGTAAAAAATCCATTTGATGGTTTCAGTGTATCTAATTCAATACAAGATTTTGCAGAGAAGTATTATCACATAAGAAATGTTGTCAAGCTATCTTAGAAATAAATGAGGAAACAGAACATTCTTACATTTATGACGAAGAACACCTACAATCAGTGAAAACCTGTCTTTATTATCTACATAATATTACTTGTCATTTGGAATGTATTGCTTTATTTGGAAACTTGATACAGTTCACGACAGTAAACGTGTTTATACAAAATCATTATACCACGCTTTTAGCGAGATCTATCTTGCAACCAATTATCATAAAAGTTCTACGGCAAAATTGTTATTCGTAATAAAGAATTTCTGTCATTGAAAATCATATGCAAATGTCAGTAGTATTTTTTTTTTAATTTCCCGTAAGTCACGTGATATGACACTGGAGTTCCGTGTACAATGTAGACAATATCGCTACAAATGTTCTAGAAAGTAATTTCGATATAAATATGAGTTGTAAAATTGTGGCTTGTTATTCTTACGCCAAACATGCGATTTGTTTTACACAAGCATTTTTGGTTTTATGAAATAAACACGATTTCTCAACATAAAGCCGATTAAAACAGAAGTATACATCAAAGAGCGTCATCATAATAATAGTGCACAGTTAATGGATAACATCCGAGTTGATCGTTGATAGTGAATGATTTTATGGTTAGCGTGAAGTAACAAGATGTTGATTTTACGCATGAACGTTATATTAATTTTTTTCGTGTTAGCGATTTGATGGTAAATGATACATTCCTACACAAATTGTACCGAACATCAAACAGTATTGATAATGAAAAACACAAGAACAATGATAATAAAAGGGCAGTGTTTATATATCAGCATATATCTGATGCAATTTTATTGTTCTAGATCATTTCAGGGCAATATGGCTTGATCCCTTCACAGGTTGGATGACATTCCAGTAAGACAAATAACATATGACATTAATAAACAAGAGGTGACAGATATTGTTTGGTCATCTTCCTTTTGATATTCTCCCTACTTTTCTATTCTTTCCTCTGTTCTTGCTCTTATAGATATGAAAATTAAATATTCCTTCTAATTATTGATAATAATCTTTCCATATAAATTTCAAGATGGTTGTCTGACGGCCAGTTTCTCCCAAACTCAAAGGGAAGCTGCATATGAAATATTTGAGAAAAATCTATCCAGTACGTCTGAAGAAATATTAATCAGCTAAAATAGTCAAATTTGATATTGCTTCCTGTCGACCATTTTATTGTTCTCAGTTAAAAAAATGAAATTCGAGAAAGGTCCATTCAGCGGTTCTCAAGATATAGCAGCTTCAAGAAATGTTTACGGGAAGTTAACAGACGTAGGACAACTAGAATAGCCTCCCATCTGTGGGTACAAAGATGCTAATGATTATTAAAATCTGCAAGTTCAGTTAGATAATTAGCAGTATTACTTATTTTTAGAAAACTTATTTTTACGTAAATGATTTTAAATGAATTTCGCTGTCGTGTGTTCTGAACAAAACTTCTTAATTCAAATCCAATAAGGTCATCTACAGGTCACGAAGACGATTTGAACAATCCACTATGCAATGTTTTTTACTATGGGTGGTTAATTTGATCTGTAAAATTCCAAGAGTACCATTTTTGGCATTTGTCTTCTGAATAGTCTCAAAATGAAAAGAATGCACTACTAGGGACCATTGTGATTCATCCTCCATTTATAAGAAATAACCATTACTATAAATAACCATCCAAATCCAAGATGGCCGCCTGTCCAACATTCTCACTTTTTAATGAGTCCCAAAATTGGACATTGCAGAGTAAAGGGCCAAGGAGAACCTTCATATCAAAACTGAGAATTATCTATACTGTTCCTCAAGAAACAGTGATGATTTTAGACCGTTAACAATTTGATCTTTTTTGTCAGTTCCAAAATAAACAATGCAGAACTTAGGACAAAGGAGAACCTGTATTGGAATTTTAACCGGAATCCTTCTCGTATTTCTATTCAGCTATCGTTTGTTAAGATCCGTGCTTGAATCATTAAATTTTCAAGATAGGACCGCCTGGACTTGATTAAATAAACGCCTGGCTCAGATCCAGACGAAGCTGAACAACAGAATATTAACCAGGTGGAATTTCAGGGGGCCAAATATTGATATTTTTGGACTTTTTGCATAAAGAAAGAGTTGACACACGAAACATTTCTTCAATAATATTATTCAGTATGGGTGTAAATGGAATACTATTAATACATTGTTGAACCACAAACGGAATTCTAAAAGAATCAATTTGTCACTCTCCCTGTAACATTTTTATGTCTGGTACAGGATGTTGGTTTTTACCGTGGAATAATTCTGTACTGCCTAAATCGTTTCATCAGGGTTAAACCATAAGTGATCCACGAAGGAGAACAAACCCAAAGTTAACAAAATTTTAATAATGAAAGACTAAGGAACGTTGACATTTTGGGGCGTCAAAACTTTGTTATTCTTATTGAAAAGTTTTTAATATAAAAAAAAATATATCAGCAACATTAAAATATTTTATTACAATATGGCACATGGCCGATATAAATGCACAAAGATTTCCATATGTCGTTGAGTTTCAGATACCACTTTTTAAACAAACTTCTCAAATTGTATTAAGGAAAACTGAAGTGCTTTCATAATGCTAAATACCTAAATACATTTAAGACATGTTCTTACAAAATATTTCTACTAATTGAATGTGTCTTGGTAAAATGCGAGAATACAGTGAAAACTTGTGATCAAACCTTTTATATTCACAAATTTTCGTCTGTTATTTTGGAATGATAAACTTTCTATGAAGAATGCTGGTCTTATTGCAATCAACTTTAACACTATGAGTCATATTTGCTGATGTTATGCATCCTAAATTACACATACAAGTAATATGTTTCAAACAGTTTGATAAGAGGCCCAATGGGCCTGCAGCACACACCTGGTGTAAATATATACCAAACAAATATCATGCCTCCAGGCCTTGTAGTTCATGAGATACCATTTAAAGGCTTTAACACATTAACCCCAGTGACCTTGAATATTAGTTAAGGTAATTTAATTTTAGGGCTTCATCCTGGAAACATGCCTGCCAAACATCAAAACATTTGGTCCATTTGCTATCCAAAAGAGGTAGTCTTAAGGGAAAAATTGACACCAGATGAACAACCACGACATAAGTACACTTGGCCCTTCAGGTTAACAATAGAGCTGCAACAAATAGTTGATTTTGGTATTCAAATATTTGTTTGATGTATTCAAATATTCGTGCATTTATGTTGACAATTATGAAAATGTAATTATTTTTCATTTATTCAGCTGGATTCATGATTTACAAGCTGAATTAATATTGCATTATTACCAATGTCTAGAACATAAATAAGTTGAAAGTGTAACCTCTGATATGAACCATACATAGATCATTAACTTTAAAACATCATTCAAAGACTCATTAAATGACAGTCCTGTAGGCTGTCCTACCTGCTTGTGCCTGTCATATTGTCAAGAGAAGAATCATAGCCTAAGACTTATGTTCCCTACAGTGGGTCTGTATGACAATGCCATACATTAACATACCAGCAAAAAGCGACCGTGTAAAGGGACGAAAATCGTCTGCATGGGAAAAAATTTCCTTTTTAAATTGGGCACTTCTAACTAGGTATGTCGTAGTAGGTGTAATTAATGACAATGACAAATATTGCAGTATTGAAGTCGGAATTGGACACATCAGAAATAGCTTGTAAGAAACCATTCCATAAAGAGTATTATACATGCAAAACTACTTAATTGACCCAACATCACAAAATTAGCAGCAGATTTCTTTTCTCAAATTCTTAACACATTCTGATCTTTAGGTACAGTAAATCATTGTCATGTGCCTCAATCACTTTTCTTTACTTTAACAGATTTTCGCATTTGTTTACAATTTCAGGTTAGAAATATTTCTATAGCATATCATTCATATGTTTTGCATTTTGTTTACATCCGAATTGTTGATTTATAAATGTGACTGCTGAACCGGAGAAGCTTGACGTTTTCAATGGAAACTTACCTAATAGTCACGGGATGTTTGCCACAGAAATGCTTCGTTAGGTTGGACATAGTTGCTTTGTATGATAAAAATAACAAGTATAGTTTACATTCAGCTTTAGATTTGTTAGAATTCAGCTGAAAATGCTTACAAACCTAGCTGCAATTTTTTTTCCGTAATTCATAAAGGGAGGTAAATAAAGTACCGAACATTCCAATACCATTCCACTATTTTGATATTTGGTCAACAAGTCATTCGCGAACATTCGTTTCAGCTCTAGCTAACAATATAAGATTTATTAAACTTTATTAAAAAATTTCCTAATAAGTTATTATTTAGGCGAGATATATGGACTGGAAAAAACATTTCCACATACATTTTGAAAAAATTGCAAAAGTATAATAATAAACTTCTTCCTTCATCATACAATGTTTAAAGGTATCAATTTTGAACAAAATACAGAAATACTTTAACATATTAACATACACCATTCTTTATCATTTACATGCATATACACCATGTTCATTCAATAAATTCTAGTACATATCTTTATTAATATAAGTTTGTACATAACTTATAAATGAAAGGAAGTGTCAACTCTCTTCAAATGAAAGCATTCAGTCTTTTTATAAAACACATAAATTTTTATTTCTTTCATTCCTTTTGAAATCCTAGACAATCACGTTGAAAAGGTGAAAGATATATTAGTGATGGGTGAAGAATTATGGTTTTAAAAATATGTTTATTATGTATATGATATTTCAACAGATGGTGCATGATGGCATTTATAAAGAATTTTGAAAGCATGTGATCTTCATTCATTCCGATAAAAAATAACTGAAGGGACATAACTCTGTATGTAGGAGTACTTATATATGAGTGAACCAATCTCTAACAGTACACCACAATCCCAGGAAGTATTTAAATGCATAATCTGATTTGTTGACAAATGTCAAAAAATATTTATAAAAGAACCTAATTCAACCAATCGCTTTACTCTGTACATGAATAAAAGATTTGTTACATGTGAATCTTTGACATCACTAGTATTTCCTTCACAAAATATCTTGAGGTTGTACTAGAAAGAATGTATGGAGTATACCTACAAAAGATGACATATTATATAGGATATAGTAATTCTTTGTCTCTCCTGTTGGTAATTTTAAACTCCATCTCACTGTAAATTACTCTTATCTTATCCACACAAAGCTTGTCCAGACTGATAAGCCTTGTATAACCTCACAATGTTTTTTTTTAAATTCTGCCTTCCCTTTTGTGAACACACAATGGTTGTCGATATCTTCCTTTCATATGTGACCAGAGTATACAAATATAGCTGCTCAAGTCTTTTCTTGGTGATAGGTTATTCCTTATATGTTTCAGGAATCACCATCTTCTTCAATTTCAGTATTACTAGAGGAGGGTCTAAAATAGGAAAAAATCCAACAGTAAGCACAAATTAATAAATGTTAGACAATTTTAACAGTGAAGTTTTAAGGAAAGTAGAAATATGCCTGGCAATATTTTTTCCTGTTTAAAAATGTTGCATACATGTGATAATATTAACAGTGAAAATGTATGCCAGACTGATCATGACAATTCTTTTCATTTAAAGTTATCTAAGATATTCCACAATCCCCCACTCAAAGTTACCATTAAAAGTTTTTTTAATGCATGAATTCAGAGAAAGAAGACAATTTTACACTACCATAGAATATTTTTAGAAAATGTGTGGTATGATGGATATTTGCTTTAATACCAAAACTTCCCTGTACGTACCCAGCAGAACCACTGCTTCTTTCTACTGTATCAACATCAGTAGGGTCAGAATTCTCCTTTTCTGTTGATTTACTAGGTGACTTTTTTAAGAACATGCCAATTCCTTTTTGCCAATCTGGTGTTGGTCTCGGACAGGCTGGATTACCTCCTGCATATTTTCCTTTACCTGTAAAAAAAAAAAAACTGATTCGTGTGATTTCTGTCATATATCTATCTTTGCTATCTGGTGTGGAACTCTCCTGTGCCAGAGAGAAAATATAGTACTACTCTATTTAAGTACACTAGTGAATGTAGATTTGAGGAATACAGAAGTGGAACCTAATGGGAAGCCATTACATTAAACCAGGAAATTATGTGTTTAAGGGATGTTCTTTAAACAAAAAAATATATGTCAAAGATATTAAAGCCCTTTCTCCCTAACAACCTGAATTGGTTAGAGATTTTCTATTAACATGTACAGATTTATGTATACAGACAAGGAGTTGTGTCACAGATACATATCCTGTACATAGCAACATATTCATTACACAACCTTTACAATTGGGACATTTTGAGATTTTGACTTAAAATTTTTTTTTTTGAAAATTTAAATTGTTTTTAAATGTTTGGGGTCAGCACAAATTATGAGGGTATATAGGGCAACCAGAAAAACGAAATATTTTTGTTTTGCTTAAATACAGTATGTTAGCCAAGAAATCCTCACTTAAAAAAAAAATTTTGAAGAGAGAGAGAAAATATTGATTTTGATAATCCTTTAAAAATTGTAGCAATAAGAAATAGAGTGCCATCAGGATAGTTGAAACATAATTTTCAACATTCAATTAATCAATACTTCATTGCAGTTCAAATAAGTCATTTCAGCATGAATCTTAACCTTTGTATCAAAAATGTGTCTACAAAAAATTTTAAGCTGACGTAATGATGACATTGACCCGTCGTGGTTGGGTATCTCATGGGTCATTGTAAAAAGAAACAAAACATACAAAATTTATCGTAAATTATTGTTCAAGTTAGAATATTTTAATTTCTCAACATTTCTATTGAAAAACAATAATTTTTGTTTTGAAATCAGTACCAACATGCACACCAAATATTCATTTTCATGAAGTTTCAGCTGCATGTCTGAAAACTTTGTGCCATGGCACCCACTCACACACAGCCTAACAATCGTCACAAGTTCAAAGTGACAATGAGTTTAAAACTACTAATACTTGATTTGTACTAGCCAATCACAAACAAACACATCAGACTTCCCTTGACCAAGCTAGACCTTTCAGGAAGTGGGTTGATCTATTGTTTGGTAATCATGAGGTGTAAAAAGTTGGCCAGTACAGCAGTGACAATATGTACATAAGGCGTCTACGTCTGCCGCATGGCTCTTGAGGCATGAATCTATAATTCTTGTCGTCACTAACCTGTTATTAATCTGTTTTTGGGGGGTTGGTTTTTTTTGAGATAGTCATCTAAATGAAGTGATATAAAGGGTTGCACTCATGAAAATAATAATGAAATAACATTGAATGTTGGATTACACAGAATAACAACCTGATATTAACCAGAAAGTGACATTAACAGACATGACATCTAGTTGTTTCCAATGTACTTATTTTACCTGATGGGGAATCTCCTGACACAGATGATCCAGAACTGGCACTGCTTCCCAGTACTTTCCTAGGGGCTCGTGCAGCCACAACTGTAAATCATATATATACACACACACTTAACACAACAGTATATATCAACATATCAATATTTTGAAGGACATACACATGACTCACCTGCAGGACTAGGGATTCCATACCATAAATGCCTCTAAGCTAAACCATTACAGACTGTCACAAATTTTCAATTATTTTTTAAGGTGAATATAATACAATGATGTACATATAATTGTACCCAATTCTGAAACATTATACATGTATATTATTGACACTTCTGTCACTAGCAATGCATTTTTATGTTTTTCTATAAAGTGTTTCATTTTCTTGATGGCAGAAGCAGGTCTCAATAACTCATGGCTGCTGACAAATCTAGACCAATCTTCTGCTAATTAATATCTTGCATTAGATCAAATAGTGGGATCATTCTCATACCTGCCAACTTTACCCAATTCGATCAGGAGTTTCCCGATTTTCACTCCCCAGCTCCGTCTCCTGATCGTTTGGATAAAAACTGGAGGAATCTCCTGTTTTCAAAGATCCCACAAGGTATATTTGTCAAATTGATAAATAAGGCTGACCACCTGGCCACATAATCAAGGCCTCGCTAGGCGAGTACACAGCCAAATTATCTAATTAGTGTAACCCAATTCAAGCTAATCCTCGCTGACCACTTTGCTTCGGAGCACTCTTGTACACAGCCAATTGTTTCCTACCTAATTAATGGTAGACTATTGGTCAGAATTCAGGACCAGGACTTACAACTGTTGTCCATCTTTTAAAGATATACCGGGTAGGTGTGTATTGTCTTGAGAGTACTGTATTGTGACTAAATATTGTGATACAAATTGTATCATGCAACCATAGTGTACTGTTCTGCTGTTTTTACTTACTTTGAGTGATTAACTTGTAGAAAAGAAGTATACACAAATAATTGATCACAGCTGAAATGTGTGTGGCATGCATATGTAATCCTGGTAAATACTAGCCGTAATATATAGCTCAGCTATAGAGAACTTTTCTTTAGCTTGATTGGTTGAGCTTCAGCCTAGTACGCTGGAGGTCCCGGGTTAGAATCCTAGCGGCAGAATTGAAAGAAATAATGACCCATATGTGAAAATGACGATTTATTTCCAAAGTTAACTTTCGAATGGTGGCCCAGGTACAAGCCAGTGAATTTTGACCTTGACTTTTTGTAGGGCCAGATATTTGAAGTTCATTGTCTCCAGGCATAAAGAAGTTGATAAACACCAGATTTATTAGGGTACATCGACGTTAGTACCAGTGGCCCAAAATTGCCGGAAAAAATATTAATGTATCACAAACGTGCACAATACTGGATACCTTTGGAAGCATGCATTTAATTACTGACAATATATATAATATCCAAATGTTGTTCTTCATTATTTGTAATATTAAATGCAGTTGTAGGCTACTATTTATCTTGACCCTTTGATTAATGAATGGGCAATTTTTCTTGAAAATGCAAAGAGATCACTCTTCCCCTCGCAAGATGCTGCAATTTTGGATCGTTTTCAGGCGGGTACCGCAGTCGGGACAGTGCGGACACAGTTCATTTTCCATTGCCTTTGTGCCGACTGCTATACATATATACAGAGTAAACTTAATAGAAACATGTAGTTGTTTTGTTTTCATGCAAGTTTATCCTGTTTTCATTCTGACAAGACAAGAGATGGGCTCTCTACGTTTTTGTACGTGTGCATCACATTAACTAGTTTATCTCTTGCGCATCTGATATAATTACCTTTCCTCGATGCAGCGCTGCTATTATCAGCTTTTGTTCGGACCATGATCTTGTGTTTTTACAGGACAATTTTAGATTGATCTGATAACGAAAGTTTGTAAAGTTGAAGCTTCACTTTACACCTACTCCCCACTTCCCGCGATTTTATTGTTTACATCTGAATTCCCGCGGAAAAGTACCGGAAGTCACACAGGAGTGTTGATGAAAAATATTTATTGACGTTGAGAGTAATAAAACACAGTTTTCGCTATTTCTGTAATGATTATTTATTATATAATAACTAATGAAAATTTATTTGGTGTACCCTTTAGCAGAGGAAAGAAAAAAAAATCAGAAATGTCACAAGGGGAATAACTCAATATTACCTATATTCATAGGTAGAACAACAACAATATCTTTATTTTCAATTCATCCGTTCTTACATCTTTACGTCCGAAAAATAATGCGTGGATTATCAGATAGCTTTCTTGATGCAAAAAATACTTATTTATATCAATATTATTTCTGGAAACGAAATTTATCAATTTGAATGCAATATGGGTACGTAACTGAAACAGTGGGGGAAAAAATAATATAATAATCGGAGGAAGAAAGTGACTACTGACAGATTTTAGATCATTGCATTCGCCCCTTTTTCTATTTCAGTAATTTCCTTAACGTAGTGGCCACATTTATTTCTTACATTGATTCAATTTAGGTCAATATCTGTCTTAGCAATGCTATCAGATGTATTTTTGTGATGCAGACCTCTGTATTTGTAGATTATTAATTGTGTTTATTCGATGTCCACTTCTTGTTTTCCCGTTGTGTCTCTTGTGTGTTAATTAAAGCCGAATTTTACAATATACGACACTAACAATACTATATCGAATGTTAACATTTGGATGTTATTTTTTTTTACATGTATTGATTTTAAACACAAACTAAAAAAAATAGTATTCATTTTAATATCAACAAGACTCGTTATATCTAAAATTTATATTGTCATCGACACAAAATTAATACACATGGTAATCTTTCTACTAAGGTCCAAGTCACCGACACAAAATAGATATACAGTGTTAAGCTTTCTAGTAAGATCTCAGTTATAGATACAGAATAGATATACAGTGTTAAACTTTCTAGTAAGATCTCAGTTATAGATACAGAATAGATATACAGTGTTAAACTTTCTAGTAAGATCTCAGTTATAGATACAGAATAGATATACAGTGTTAAACTTTCTAGTAAGATCTCAGTTATAGATACAGAATAGATATACAGTGTTAAACTTTCTAGTAAGATCTCAGTTATAGATACAGAATATATATACAGTGTCAAACTTTCTAACAAGATCTGTAAGATAAACAGTAAACGCCACACGTTTTTTTTGCTTTCTCCTGATTTCATCTTCACGAATCACACTCTGTAATACACAATACACTTTGCATGGGCAATTAAAATATAGATATAGACAAATTGAGACAGAATTTACACATACAATTGTCCTTATTCTCATATTATCAGACATGTGAATATTACGTTTATTGAGTATTGGGACTAATGCGCCTCGTCAAGTAATTTCTTTCCATATCTTAAAATTTTCCCAGTCACCTTGAGCTATTTCCATATAGTTTCAGTATATTCAATGGCCGCATAAATCACGGACGAGTCCTGAAAGGATGAAACAACTTTATGGCACAGTCAGATTTATCATTTAGTTCTTCTCTTGGTAATTCTAAGTCTGTATCTGTATGTCTTTTCTACAATCTTCCAGGTCCGGGTCAAAGGCGTTCCAAACTTCATATACAGAATATACAAAGTACATTGTGTCTGAATTTCAGATAGAAATAAGGATATATTCAAAACATTGCTTATAATAGAATGATTCAATCTAGGGATACGATATTTCTACACATTTCACATAAAAACGTATCAAATTAGATATATTTCAAAGGCATGTGTAAAATTCTAAGTTATTTCATTTTATAGAAAACACGATATATGCTCCATCGGTCATAACTCTTGAGACTATTTCTGTACCACCTGACACATGTTGCTGTTCCACAGATGTAAAACCACTAACTCAAAAATATAAATAAATTAATAAATATATAAATAAGATAAAATAAACAAGAATAATCACGTGGGAGTACTCTAATGACCTCTTTTGTTGTCTAGAACGGAAACTAAAAGCAACTGATTTACTGAAGAAAAATGGTCTTGATGTCACCGATTTCGGAATTCAGATGTTAATTACCATAATTGTAAACAACATAAGAGATGATGGGGTAAAGACCCAATCATTGCGGTAATTTAAAATGGTATAAAACTTCAGGAAACTGATAAATACCTGGTGCGATATTATCTGGAACAGATGTTTACAATAATATTTCCTAAAAGTGCGTCTCTATAACGGTATAATCATTGTTGTAAAAATCGGCATTTTTACTTTGAGTAGATGATTTATTCGAAACAGATGAATCCTTTCCCTCGGATACAGACCGGATAATATTGACATTACCAACAAAGTGTTCCCGAAACCTTATCCTTCGAACAGCACCTCTTCCTTTGAAACAGATTATGATACATTCTTTCAACGCTTGTCTGAATCTTGACCCTGTCACTATGTATATTATGAATGTTATACACTTGTTGGTATACAACATGTAAAATGTGACAGAAAATAACAGTTTTGGTTCAATTTTTTGATAAAATGTAGGATGATACTCTGAAAAGAATGACTGAACTGTAAAAGGGAATGTCAAAAAGAGCAATGCGCATGACTCTCCTATTAACATCGGAGTTATTGTTCGCCATTTTTGATCTACCTTTTGATGCGACATAATTGGGACACTTGTTCTTTTAACAACTTTCGTACCTCTTGTGTCCAAATCGTTGGATGATTTCCAGACAAAGTATGTAAGTATACCATTACTTATAGTCATGATAACAAAGCAAACTAAAAGGAAGGAGAAATGAAGCCAAGGCCAAACGTCTTCCCAGAAAAACTTGTAAGACGCTGTCGTTGTAAACACGTTGCAGAGACGCTCAGTTTGGTTCCGATAAACCATATCAGAACCAATAAGAAAATGGAACTCTTTTGCTACTACTATCAACGTCACGATACCAATTGTTATTTTGGCGCGTTTCACATTGTCTCCACTTGTCATTCGAAGGGGAAAACTGATCGCGAACGCTCGATCAATTGTCATAGATGTAGTAATCAAAATACCTAAATCACAATTTCCCCAGCCATAAAAGTCTAAAAATTTACAAATCCACCCGGCCTTCTCCTTGCTGTAGACTTCCGGAAATGCCACATACAGCCAATGGGAAAGCATGGAAACCATGAGGCTCAGTGTGTCATTGGTTGCTCCCATTGTCATGAAGACGGAAGTAGACTGCTCATGGAAGAATCGAGTACGCATGACAACAATAATAAGAATGTTGAATATGACTCCAATGATGATAAGCACCGGGGGATAAATGAGGTCCACAAATTGTGTGTCAGACATCTGGATCAAGTCTGAGTCGTTCCCCTTGCTGTAGTTTTCCATGTATTTTGATGTTGTGATGGATTCAGATACGATAACACTTTACATCTTCACGACGTTCTTGGACAAAATAATGTGTAAACATTCCTTCCAAAATGTTACAAAAACTTATTCTAAATCATATTATTTTTGGTGTAAAACGCACTTGAATGATCTTCATAGGGACTGTACGTTTAAATGTTTGGCTGCAATCAGTCAAATTCTAAGGAAATCAAATATATTCTGTTTCTCTAGCGTAGAATTTTGTTGGCGCTGAATGTTTTAAATTGAAAAAGACCTCTCTTTCCTACATACGATACGGCCAGATTGGAATGGATGATAATTCACTTCTTCACTCTGAAAAAAAATAAACAGAAAGAATAAAATATTCAATTTTCATCCTTTTTTAAAAATATAAATACTGATTTGTTGTCGCAACGAAATATTTTCGTCGTCATTTAACATGCATAAATTGATAAATTTGTGTGTAGTAGTAATTGATAATATATACGTGTATATATTCTAAATAATTCTAAATTAAGTGATATGTGTTGTTGAATTATTGAAATCTTGTCTTTGGCTATGTTCACATGTGGTTTATCAACATATCTCTATGATTTATATACAAAATATACAAACAATGCATAAAATGAACATTGAAAAATTAATTTACACCAACAGTTAAATCGAAACCATAAAAGAGGCTTTGCTGTCATCACAAGTGATCAGAGAATAGCCTCTCCATATCATAATTCCCTTATAAAAATTGACTGACATGTTTAAGAATATTCTTTGCGTGTTTTCAATGCAAATCAATATTTTCAATGTGAGCAGAGAACAGCATTAGAAAAAAAATCTATGTGACCGGTTTTTGTCTGAGAAAAGTTAGGTCGGTATTTTAAAAATAAAATCTATATATTGATTAGGCAATGGTTTATAGCTAGCTATGTTTGAGGAATGTTTACGAGTCGTTAATGAGTATCATTAGATTATGATGCTGAATAGTACAATCTGTCGGAACAGCTGTTCTGTTTGAATTTTTGAAAATCAGAAGTTTGGACAATATCTATTAATGTGAACCATTCAGACGAACACCTGCCCGGATTTCACGTTAATTTTTTGTGAAATTTCAAAATGTGTGTTGTTTTTTTTTAACTTTATTTTTATCTTGTTTATGTGTTATATTTGTCCGATATTCACTTTTAATTTTCCATTTATTATTTCTAATGTTGTCTCAAGAAAAACATTTAACATATAAGTCGATATTCACTAATATTGTTTCTTACAACCATAATGACTCAACTGAACTAACGTCCCAATTACCGTAAAGTGACCAATGATGATCTGTTTACCGCCATCTCCCAAGAAAGGTGCCAAAGGAATGCTTGCCATCAGTATGTATAAAGATATGTCAAGCGTCTTTGTGAATTTGTACTGGTAATTTTGGGGAACGTCAGCAAACAGGAGCAAATTTAAAACAGATATTTTAAAAAGATTAGGGTTAGTAAATAAAATAGGGACGGTCGGGAAATCGGTAACATACATATGCTTTCTTATAAATTATTAAGGAGATATGTAACAGTTTGACCTGTTTTTTAAACTTAAGCTGTATTATATCTTCGTCTAGTTATACCAATTATTCTCTCTCGAAAAAACTGTTTAGTCTCGCAGAACTTGAATTGACAGTTTTAATGTTCACGTCGAAACGAAAAATTGAAATAATCAGAGTAAGTGTATGTAGCAATTGCACTTCCGGTTTGTTTTTTCTAAAATGCACATTATATATCTCTGTACCTGAACCACCAAGCATTAATATGTTTAGCACAATTACCCCCAGACTCCATAACACTAGTGATACTTACGTTTATAATCACTCCATGTCACATTATAGGAATTGATCAGCTCAGAATTTGATAAAAGTTGTAATTGAAATGATGCTCAAGATGCATGTATATAAAAACATCCAAGTAGGAAGATATCTCACTTGTTCCTTGACTAAGAACTCGCTATCCGACCATAATATTTGAACATTCCTACACTCCACCACACTTCACCGACACATCTATCATCACATCATTGGCAGGCAGCAGTAATTGTCTGATGTAAACTGTATTGAAGACAACGTTAACTAGCCTGTTCGATCCCTAATGAATTTACTCTATAGCATTAAAGGCATCATATCCAGGACACTACCTAACACAGTCCAGCTAATAGATAAGCCACATTTCAGGGACCTGAGTGACAGATTGGCGAACAGAGGCTTACTTTTCTACTCAATATCCCAATTTCAGGTGTAAGCAGAAAAAGCCGTGTCGACTACTCGAGGAAATAAAGAAATCATTAAATCAGCTAGCGTAAAATCACACTAAAACTTATGGATTCTATCAACAAAATCATGTCAGGTTCCAAATCATCATACTTCATGTGATGAAATGTGTTTAATTCAAACATCAGCTGTATATATGGTGTCGGGAGGGGGTACATTTCTTCGCTAAACAAAACATGGAGAAGTGCATTTATGGAAGTAAAATGATAATAACAAAAAACTAGATCATTAATACACAAGATTTATTAACAGTAGGAAAGTGAGGAGTAGATATCTAAAACATGGAAGAATTCATACAAAAACTTGGACGGGAATGTGTTTCAGAAAATATGTTTTGAATCATTGGATAATTTAGGTTCCTTTTTGTAACAATGATTGTTTTGACTGAATATGTGTATGTGTCATCAGTTCATCATGGTGTTAAAACCAGGAATAACGATTTTGGAAATATCCGTTACGTCCCAACTGAAATAATTCACATGTTACTTTTTTAAGAAGTATGTAGATTTGAAAATTCCTGTTTATGAACAATTTCATTTCACCGTGTAAGACGTACTACAAAGAACATTTCTCAATTTGTTGATCGGCCTTACTGAAATTGTTGTATACCGGGATATGATTTGGTGTACAAAACATCACTACCTTTTAATAAAGGGAATGGTGTTGCTTTAAAATGTCAATACTAATACAGTTTATTACCGATGAATGTAAATATTAACTTTGGAAACGGTTGTTCCAGCTGTATCCGGCATGGTTCACCCGCTATCTTTTCAACGATTTATCCAGAATCAGCCACAAGGATAGGAGTAGGCAGGTGTAAATGGAAAGAGCTATAAATAGCTATTCATTGATTTATCTCCAAAGACAGCTCAAAAGCGAGTAAATGCTGTCAACTCAATTTGTTTGCATTGTCGTATTTTTTACGGCAGGATGGTTTCTCATATCACATGATGGCAGTATAATGCATTATTCTATTTTTTACGGAGGGATGGTTTCTCTTTTCTCATGATGGCAGTATAATGCATTATTGTATTTTTTTACGGGGGGATGGTTTCTCATATCTCATAATGGCAGTATAATGCATTATTGTATTTTTCACGGAGGGATGGTTTCTCATATCTCATGATGGTACTATAAAGCGACAAAAAATACCGCCATTGCAAAAATGCTTCATGAAGATCTCTTGAAATTTTGAAACACATTCTTTGTCCAGAATCTTAACTGCAAATCATTAACTAAAAGTTTTGATTGAACAAGTTTGCTGTTTCCTAGCTACAATTTATCGGAATTTACTCTGCTAATGATATTGCTGTAGAAAACACTTGAAATAAGAACATTGGCTTTTACAAGCATGCGATAACGCTGATCAGAGACTCTTAATGGTATGTCCCTGAATCAATACAGTTATCATTTTCATACTGATAAAGCTCTCATTTGGAGGCAAATACCTGGCCCAGCATTATGAACGGTAATAAGGAACTTCTCCTCGCAACTTCCCCACTTACAATGGTAAAACCTAAAATTTGTTGTGATATGATATTAGAACGAAATTTCCATTTTGAACAATGGTTATAAAACCGTGTATTTCCTTTTGATTTACTGTTGTTTCCATTGGCATTTAATCAGAGTCAGCAATGAGTTTGATAATATGATAACTTTCAAAATGAATTAATACATTGTATAGTCATTATTCACTTTCCCCAAATAACTCGCATCTGTTGTGCCAGTTGAGGATTTATATATCAAGTAGCCAGATACATAATGAATCACATGATGGTACTTTCATTTTGTTTTTATCAATATGATAGCATTTCATTCCAGAGCTTGTCAATCATACAGATGTGTATCTACATCACAACAAATACAGACGATTAGATTACTTCCTTATTTAAGACCAAATGAGTTTATAAAAGGAGTGTTTATACGTTTGACAATAAATCAACTGTATTATGTTTTAGCAGAAATGGATTGATATGTCATCAAATTCCCGATGTGTTGTTCCTGTTTGTGTTCTAGGAAGTGATTTTACATCACAAGCTGTCATTGTCATTACTTCCTATTCGTGTAGGAAGAGACATCGTACAAATATGAATAGACTGACATAGTTACTCCACGGATTTGGCTATAGATATTACTGCATATTGTTACTTATACGTCGTATTGCCAAATACAATGTGACCTAGATAAAGACAGGTAATAATACCCTGTCTATTGATCAACCTCATGTATACATGTTTTTCATTGTTTGTAAATAATCCAACACTGAAATAGTTTAATTATTCATAATTGGACGGATGTGTAATCCTCACCACACCTTTTAATAACTTGATTACAATTGGTGTTAACCACTTAGGGCAATTAACTTACAGTAATTTTGTACAGGTCCGGAAGAGAATCGCCATGTTGCTGTATGAATTATTTACTTTAGTTGAGCACGTGAATTGTTTCTGAACCTGGAAATTAAAGTTGATAGAAATATGTTAGTAGCCATGGTAATTATGTTGATCTATTTATGATCCATTTACACATGTTTTTCCTCGCGTGACCATGCACATCGTTTGAGACCAATACTCAAGGAAGTTTTCTTCAGTGCGCATAAATTAAACACACACATTTAGTTTATGTTAACAACGAATTCAGATGAAATATTTACTTTTTAATTGACAGCAATGCACATATTCCTAAGAAACACGACGGAACCCAAAGATGGAGAAACAATTCAATGTTTTATTCAAGAAATGCATTTAAATAACACATGCAATGGTTTCAATTTTAAGATTGTATCAGAAAGCAAAAGCAAAGAAAGATCCTTATTTTCGAATTGTTCGTTCTTTTGTCAGTATCATAAGATACAGATTGGATTGTGCATAAAATAGTTCTAATCAGCTATGATGCAGATTACATTTATTTTAAATCTACTTCTATTCGTTATCCAATGAGATCGACATATCTAACATTTATTCTGATATCTGCCTTGACAGGTGAATCTAGCTGTAATTATCTCATTGGTGATGCATATTAAATATCAAAATGATATCACACCAACACTGCCAAGCCTGAAGAGAGTGAAAGACTCTATTTGTCTTTGTATTTCAATGACTTTGTTTCATACAAATCTCTTTGTACCATGTAGTACTAAATGCATCAGGATGCACGTATTGGGTATACACAGATCTAGTGTTTAATGGTATCAGTATAAATTACCATTTGTCGTAACAAAAAAAAAATGTGCAATAAATAGTATCACATACCATAGCTTATACGTTACCACAATTAATGTATAAGCAAAGAATTAAAATCATTTAGACATTGTAAAATTAGATATGATTGTAAGTAAAAAGAAGTCCAGACAATAAAGAACACAAATTATTATACCGATTTGTAATTTTTCCAATAACAAATGTAAAAACTTTTCATTAATATGGAAAAAAGATACTTCGAAATGACGTGACGTCATACATATATATATATATTGATATTTCTTTAAAAGCGATAAAAATCTTGGTAAACAATACACAGCATACCTTTAACATCTTACACAGATATTACTAAAAGGCTATTCTAGAATAGAAACTTGATCACTAGATGAATTTTGAACAATGGTCGAGGTAAAACATTCCATGATAGATTATTTAAAAGCTGATCACAAACTAATGTAATGTCAAACAATATTGCAATAAAACAACCATAAGCAACAGTTTCTTTTTAAAAACTTCATATGCTGAAACTCAAAACAGGGTACAGTTAACTGTACCATACGGCTGTTTCTCCCACTGTGGTCTGATGAGAAGTGAATTTAATACTTTCTCAAATATAACGTTGCAAGCCAACTTTGGCTACAGTACGTATTTTTTCCTTTTATTACATATCCTGTAGGTCATGTTTGGATTAATTTCAGACCTCGGGAAAGAACAATCCACAAAAATTACAAACCACCTTTGACTGAGGTAAAATCACTGTTTATCTCGAAGTACATCACACATGCTGTGTCGATAATTATGGAATATTAGCGAGGTTTGAATGCAGTCAGAGATCAATTACTAGGAAATGGCATATCTAATAACTAAACATCAGGATAACAGTTCTTCCTGGTACATCATTTAAACGGACGTCATTGACAAGCATTAATGGGGTCTAAAAAGACCATGCAAGTCCCGCAGAAACCGGATATCGGGAAACTCGACTCGCGCACGCTCTGTGAATGTCCTGCCGTCGAGAACTAATAGATAGGCGTATTTACCGTCCATATTAGAATTGATGGCGGACAATATCACTCCTGAAATAGAGAAAATATCAAATTTATTTATTCTATTATCATGAAATTGTAATTAGAAAAAAACAAATCACTTGTTATAAATACTTGTACAAAAGAAATATGAATCTAGTAGCAGATACACTATAGACAAACAGGGATTAAACTTGAATATCAAGCAATTTTTTTAGTACTGCTGGTGATTAAGGTGTTGAAAGGTACATACTAAACATCAGAACAGAAAAGCAAGCGGATTTAGACGAAGCATCTGTGAATATATTCATTGCTTTTGTTTTACACTGACTTTTTGTACGGAATTTGATGATGATAAAATAGGACAATTATGCAAGCATCAGTGCTGTCGTTATTATGATGATATATATAATGTAATTTCTTACAGTTTTTAAATACCAATGAAGAAACACTTAATGAGACTACTCACCATCGTCCTCTTCTTTTCCACCTGGGCGTGGAACGAAGATGGGTTCTGAAGGATGACATGTTCCGTCACTCCATGATTTAGTCTCTTTGGTTTGCATGTCAATCTTCACAAGCTGTTTGAAATTGATAATAGATTAAACAGAATCCATCTTTATTATTTCTGTCTTATTTAAGGCCATTTCCCGTACAGGTACACCGTACAATACATTTATATATATCTATATTTATATGTACTCTGGAAGACCTACACAGTGTAATTAAGCAATGGGTGAATTTAATGGCATTTATGATAGTCATAAATGTCAGAGCTTTGCAGAAAAAACACCATACACCGCACTTGCATTTATAACGATCATACATTCCATAACAAGATAGAACAAATACTTATATTTATCTTTCCTAGCCATTATGTTGTCTTATGTCGGTTATACTATGATTTCAGTTACAATAAATGATTTTTCATCGGAGTATAACATGCCACGAGAAACTGCCATTTGACGGCAACCCCGTCGCTGTCTCTATGCCAACAATACAAACTCCCTCATGATCAGGTGGCTGTCATTGAATTCCACATCATACATTTTCCGGTCAGTTTATATATAGTAACAATGCCGTGCACATGGAAATATAGCTATTTACATACATCATCTTTCAGACCTACAAGGTTTTTTTCACAAATATTCCTTCATTCGTTTGTTTAAACTTACCGCCTGTTGTCCTGACTTGAATACGCTGTAGCCATACAGGTAACGGTATTTCTTCCCGTTAAATTTGGCGTAGTTAATTTGGGGGAACTCAAATCCTTGGAAAATAAATAACAAAAATTTTAAAAATATCATTTTGTCTAATATTCTAATATGTTTTAATAAACTGGATATAAATGTCTGTTATAATATGCTTCGATGATGCCTTATCTTTTGTAAAACAACGATGCCGTACCCCTGAATGTGACATGATAAAACTTATAAAGACGTATGTTGTACTACAATGTTTTAATATACCTTCGTTATACATCTGTTGGCTGGTCAGGAAAATGTTTTTCTCCGTTTTCCTGACGGCTGTTGCTGTACAGCCTGGCTGGTTCACCAGATTCTCATTAAATGGTGACTGTAAAATATAACACATTTTTTTTCTCTAATTCCAGTAATATGGAGGTTTAATGTTAAATCGGCGAACCAAGTATCGTTCTGGTGTTCTTTAAAGATCTGATATAAAACTGAAAAAAAATTAATTAAGATATGATAGGATTAGATAGCATGTAAAACTTATGTCTCAAATGTTGTGTATTCGTTTTAGAGAACCTCAACTGGATTTCTTTTTGGACTATTTTCAATGTTGAAGAAGAATAGATGAGTCGCTAAACAGATAAAAAAAAAAAGATAAACTATTGATTTTTCTAATTGTGATGTCAAAGCAATGACTACTTGTCGCTGAATCGCTACTTGTCCAGGTATATCTGCACCGATTATCTGGACACTGTGAAATTCATATCCTGGACTTCCGGATCCTAATGATGCAGATCAATCACCTGAAAACTTTCCGTACCTAATGGACTGTATCGCTTTCCTAAGAGCTAAAATCTCCTATAGTAATAAGAATTCAGTTGTTCTAAATATAACTAAGTCATAAAGATTTGACAGAAGCCTAAGTTTACCTCCATGGAAACGTCGAGAGGAAGTACAAATCGTCGGAGACGGCATGTCTTGATTTCTTCACAAGATTTCGTGTCCTGGAATGACTCTTTCTCCAGATCTTTGAGATACAATAATTTCATGATACGGGCATCTCGGAACGAGCAAAGGTCAAGGACGAGGTTACCTGATATACAAAAGAGGGTAAACAGATGACGTACTCAAAAATGTTAACTTAATAGGAATACCTAGCTGTGGAAAGAAATTTATGACACAAATCACAGATACAGTTGAAAAGGTATTGGAGCACATTGTTAAACACACAAGGTCAAGTAAAACGTTACTGCATTAAGCAAAGAAACGATAACGTTGTTTTAGCAACATATTGCGTAAATTTCTGATGAGTTGTGATTGACAACGTTTGTAATGGGTGAAAAAAATGAAATTGAAAACATTTCTTATTACTTTTAACGTACAGGTTTCAGAGATTATATTATTGCTATAACCTATAATCGAACTGACTGCAATTTCTGCATGCTGTTTACATATATCAGTTCAATACACTAGGAATCCTTAAGGTCTTCTGTACACTTGGAATCCTTAAAGTCTTCTGTACACTAGGAATCCCTATGGTCTTCTGTACACTAGGAATCCCTAAGGTCTTCTGTACACTAGGAATCCCTAAGGTCTTCTATATACTAGGAATCCCTAGGTCTTCTCTACACTAGGAATCCCTAAGGTCTTCTGTACACTAGGAATCCCCATGGTCTTCTATATACTAGGAATCCCTAGGTCTTCTGTACACTAAGAATCCCTAAGGTCTTCTGTACACTAGGAATCCCTATGGTCTTCTGTACACTAGGAAACCCTAAGGTCTTAAGTACACTAGGAATCCCTAAGGTCTTAAGTACACTAGGAATCCCTAAAGTCATCTGTACACTAGGAATCCCTAAAGTCTTCTGTACACTAGGAATCCCTAAGGTCTTCTGTACACTAGGAATCCCTAAGGTCTTCTGTACACTAGGAATCCCTAAAGTCTTCTATGCACTAGAAATCCCTATGGTCTTCTGTACACTAGGAATCCCTAAAGTCTTCTGTACACATGGAATCCCTATGGTCTTCTGTACACTAGGAAACCCTAAGGTCTTAAGTACACTAGGAATCCCTAAGGTCTTCTGTACACTAGGAATCCCTAAGGTCATCTGTACACTAGGAATCCCTAAGGTCTTCTGTACACTAGGAATCCCTATGGTCTTCTGTACACTAGGAATCCCTAAGGTCTTCTATACACTAGGAATCCCTAAGGTCTTCTGTATACTAGGAATCTCAAAGGTCTTCTGTACACTAGGAATCCCTAGGTCTTCTGTACACTAGGAAACCCTAGGTCTTCTATACACTAGGAATCCCTAAGGTCTTCTGTACACTAGGAATCCCTAAGGTCTTCTGTACACTAGGAATCCCTAAGGTCTTCTGTACACTAGGAATCCCTAAGGTCTTCTATACACTAGGAATCCCTAAGGTCTTCTGTATACTAGGAATCTCAAAGGTCTTCTGTACACTAGGAATCTCAAAGGTCTTCTGTACACTAGGAAACCCTAGGTCTTCTATACACTAGGAAACCCTAAGGTCTTCTATACACTAGGAATCCCTAAGGTCTTCTGTACACTAGGAATCCCTATGGTCTTCTGTACACTAGGAATCCCTAAGGTCTTCTGTACACTAGGAATCCCTAAGGTCTTCTGTACACTAGGAATCCCTAAAGTCTTCTGTACACTAGGAATCCCTATGATCTTCTGTACACTAGGAATCCCTAAGGTCTTCTATACACTAGGAATCCCAAAGGTCTTCTGTAAACTAGGAATCCCTAAGGTCTTCTGTACACTAGGAATCCCTAAGGTCTTCTATACACTAGGAATCCCTATGGTCTTCTGTACACTAAGAATCCCTAAGGTCTTAAGTACACTAGGAATCCCAAAAGTCTTCTATACACTAGGAAACCCTAAGGTCTTCTATACACTAGGAATCCCTATGGTCTTCTGTACACTAGGAAACCCTAAGGTCTTCTGTACACTAGGAATCCCTAAGGTCATCTGTACACTAGGAATCCCTAAGGTCTTTAGTACACTAGGAATCCCTATGGTCTTCTGTACACTAGGAATCCCTAAGGTCTTCTATACACTAGGAATCCCTAAGGTCTTCTGTATACTAGGAATCTCAAAGGTCTTCTGTACACTAGGAATCCCTAAAGTATTCTATGCACTAGAAATCCCTAAGGTCTTCTGTACACTAGGAATCCCTAAAGTCTTCTATGCACTAGAAATCCCTAAGGTCTTCTGTGCACTAGGAATCCCTAAAGTCTTCTGTACACTAGAAATCCCTAAAGTCTTCTGTACACTAGGAATCCCTAAGGTCTTCTATACACTAGGAATCCCTAAGGTCTTCTGTACTCTAGGAATCCCTAAAGTCTTCTGTACACTAGGAATCCCTATGGTCTTCTGTACACTAGGAATCCCTAAGGTCTTCTATACACTAGGAATCCCTAAGGTCTTCTGTACACTAGGAATCCCAAAGGTCTTCTGTACACTAGGAATCCCTAGGTCTTCTGTACACTAGAAAACCCTAGGTCTTCTATACACTAGGAAACCCTAAGGTCTTCTATACACTAGGAATCCCAAAGGTCTTCTGTACACTAGGAATCCCTATGGTCTTAAGTACACTCGGAAACCCTAAGGTCTTCTATACACTAGGAAACCCTAAGGTCTTCTGTACACTAGGAATCCCTAAAGTCTTCTGTACACTAGGAATCCCTAAGGTCTTCTGTACACTAGGAATCCCTAAGGTCTTCTGTACACTAGGAATCCCTAAAGTCTTCTGTACACTAGGAATCTCTAAAGTCTTCTGTACACTAGGAATCCCTAAAGTCTTCTGTACACTAGGAATCCCTATGGTCTTCTGTACACTAGGAATCCCTAAGGTCTTCTATACACTAGGAATCCCTAAGGTCTTCTGTACACTAGGAATCCCAAAGGTCTTCTGTACACTAGGAATCCCTAGGTCTTCTGTACACTAGAAAACCCTAGGTCTTCTATACACTAGGAAACCCTAAGGTCTTCTATACACTAGGAATCCCTAAGGTCTTCTATACACTAGGAATCCCTAAAGTCTTCTGTACACTAGGAATCCCTAAGGTCTTCTGTACACTAGGAATCCCTAAGGTCTTCTGTATACTAGGAATCCCTAAAGTCTTCTGTACACTAGGAATCTCTAAAGTCTTCTGTACACTAGGAATCCCTAAGGTCTTCTGTACACTAGGAATCCCTAAAGTCTTCTATGCACTAGAAATCCCTAAGGTCTTAAGTACACTAGGAATCCCTAAGGTCTTAAGTACACTAGGAATCCCTAAAGTCTTCTATACACTAGGAATCCCTAGGTCTTCTGTACACTAGGAATCCCTAAAGTCTTCTGTACACTAGGAAAACCCTAGGTCTTCTATACACTAGGAATCCCTAAGGTCTTAAGTACACTAGGAATCCCTAAAGTCTTCTATACACTAGGAAAACCCTAGGTCTTCTATACACTAGGAAACCCTAAGGTCTTCTATACACTAGAAATCCCTAAGGTCTTCTGTACACTAGGAAACCCTAAGGTCTTCTATACACTAGAAATCCCTAAGGTCTTCTGTACACTAGGAATCCCTAGGTCTTCTGTACACTAGGAAACCCTAAGGTCTTCTGTACGCTAGGAATCCCTAAAGTCTTCTTTACAGTATAAATCCTTCAAAATTCCCCTTATCCTTGAAATCCCTCCAGGTCACCTTTCATTAACAGATATACTGTAAAACACGGATAGGTTGAACTTGACAGGGTCAAATGTACTTACTGCCATCCTGATACATGTTGGCATGATGGAAGAAGAACATTGGATCTGTCTGGTAAGCGAAGTTAGTGTTCAGTTCTTGTCCTGTGTGTCTGTCTACGATGTGAAACACAGTCTGAAAAAAAAACACGAATATAAGCCCATGTTTTCTCTAGTTCTAACACTAGGCGTTCGACATTTTGACGAATAGCTGTCCGGTAAAGGATACCACAGGAAAGTCGGGCTAAAAAAAGAACACTCAAATTTTTGATGCAAAAATATTAATTTTTATTTTGTAATACAAGTGAATTATTAACTATGCTAAACAAGAATTAAGATATTTATAAATGATTCTTGCATTTTTATCAACCCATCTTTTCTATGTTGCTTAACATATCCACTAAAAACCTTTTGAAATGAAATTATCAAAAGAAATCTCTGGAAATGATGCCACGCAACAACACAAATATTCTATCATGTCTTTAAACAAAGAAAGTATTGCTGAAAGTACCACATTTTTAAAGATAAGTTACCGAGGTCAATGAGGAAGTTAGTCAACTTTTATAAAACGGAGAAAAAATATTCAAAATTATGTCATTTATTTCTATAAACGAACAGAATAGGAGAGGTGTTCCATTTTGGGTACCTTTCCTGTTGAAATGCATTGCTGAATTTGGCATGCTTTGTTGCTGACACAAAATGAAAGCCGAAAGTGTCTATTTGTGAAATACTAAGAAAAAAATGCAGGATTCAAACACTCAGTAGAATATTTAAAACAATTTTCTTCAAAAAGCTTCCAATTTACCAGCAAATGTATGTGTTATATAAATATGTATACAAATGTATTTACTGGGTATTCACAATCCACCTTAACATAAACATCATGCCATGATTCGAATTTCAATCAATTTTAGCCCAGCCCATCAGGCCACACGGGGTCAGCTAGGGTCAATATGTACTGTTCATGTACATACTAACTACCATGTCACGCCCACAAAAACATTTCTATCAATATCTTACCGAATGATGACATGGTTTTAAAATATGATAAAGACAATGATTTGGAAAGAAGAATAATGCTCATAATATCTTAAAGGCAGATAATACGAAGATAAAGAACCTGTACATTGTTTAAAAAAACAACTTTAAGAGATAAAACACAATCCCCTGACCTTATTCATAGGCCGGAAGTCCATACAGTCGATAATGGCTTTTTCATTTTTCCCCATCTTGGCAACCTTGGAAAGGTTTAGTACGAACGGCTGTTCTATGAAAACATAGAAGTTCTTTGTCATGGCAAAACTGTGATAGTAGGATGGAAACAGCGGCCATTTACACTTGATTGATGACGTTACGCGGGCGTCACTGATGTCCATAGCGCCACCTACACACACAAAAAAAAAAAAACCGTGGTTCAACCAGAAAATACCAACACATGATTAATTGCTTTACTTGCTCTGCTCGTTGTTATAAGACCTGCTATATTATGTACATATACCTCATATCCCTTACCCACGACTTTGTCATACAAACCGGAAGTACATAGATTTACAGTTGAATAACTCTTTATAATATATCGTTTTATTAAGGTTCCTGGTTGTTGACTAAATATATCAAACAATTCAGCCTACTAAGAAATTACTGTCACTATCGCCTTAACGAGGGAGAGAGAGAGAGAGAGAGAGAGAGAGAGAGAGAGAGAGAGAGAGAGAGAGAGAGAGAGAGAGAGAGAGAGAGAGAGAGAGAGAGAGAGAGAGAGAGAGAGAGAGAGAGAGAGAGAGGGTGGGGGGGGAAGAAGAAACATAAAGTTGACTCTACAGAAAGGTGGGTAACAATGGGGTTTACCTGGGCGTCCTGGTATTTTGTACAGGCAATAACAAGGATGAGCCGTGTAAGTGTAGCCAATGAAATGTACTGTACCATCCGTCTCCCAGTGGGCATGCGCGGCAGCTGCATCTAATTTCAAGGTCTTAGTGATGTCGAGCTGCACCAATAAAAGTTTCACAATGAGTATTGGATCAACCTTCGTCGGCACCCGCAGTCTTACAGCAAACATATAAAACAATCTATACAACAAACTTAGGTTAAGTGTCCAAAAGTAGGACGAAGTTTTGTCCCTTCTCTGCTCTTGTCTTTGAGATTTGCATTCTAAGCTATAGTACTAAAAAATGCTTTATCTTTCATATCAATATCAATTTTTCTGAGTGACATCCTACCTTTCCGATGGTTTCTAGCGTGTCTGGGTCGATTTCATTGCTCACGTGTGTTTCTGAACTGACATACATTCGTTCACCAAGTGGCCATACAGTCACCGGCGTGTTGTCCGTTTTAGGGATGTAATAAGTGTTGATCCTGATCAGTGGAAATAGGACAAAAAATGTGATGTTAGTGGTTATTTTTATATTATATTTTTCAGTTCTATACTGCGACGATATGGTTTGATTACAAGAATTACTTTCCGTGTTTTGACTTCAAATTTAGAAAGTCATTGAATTATTTGAAAAGGTGTCATGCCGCAGGTAATTGTATTTCTCAGAATGTCGAGAGAGGGAGAGAGAAAAACTTCTTAGAATATAAAAAAATTTCCACAGTAGCAGTTATGGAACGGAAGGTTTCTTCATTTTCAAAATAAAAAAAGTGTTGTTGCAACCACTTAAACGTGATCAGAAGGAAAACACGGCCGATATTATACAAGAAAATATTAATCTTAGTATCTAAAGCATCCCTTGAGCAGAAAGACAGAAAGACATGATACAGAAATGGTTTCCACGTGTAAATAGCATCATAAACATCATAAGGCGAGATTTTTGTGCCTCCCTATCACCTACACAGGCGTTATTTTTTTCACATTTGCAAACGAACCGATTTCATGGTCCTCATACATACTTCTCGTAGATCTTCTTACACGGATCGGCATACTCGGCGTAAGTACCAAATTCGGTGTTAACGATTCTGTTCATGCTAAGGTTTTTATGGTAGGTGTCGCTTTGTATGTATTTCCGCATATAGGTGGCGCTACCGTCGTGAATTTCGAAGCGCTGCAAACACGCCATTCCGTCAAACCAGTGAAGCATCCGTGTTTCTCCGACCTCATACATTCCTGGTCCATTTCGGTACAAAGATCCACTAAGCCACTCTGGCAGACACCCTACGAATATTGAATATCTATCTGAATCGCAATGTATTTGTCTTTTTATGTGCGACATCTCGTAAAATAATGGAAATTACAGCAACTGGAGCTTTAAAAACGCCAGTGGGGACAGATTTAGAAAACACATTTTGAACATATTCTTCTAGTTAACGCTTATTTTTGCTGCTTAGTTACTAGAGCCATTCAACGTGAACCATGCATGTAGTGAGTACGGCATAGACTCTGTACTAGGTTTAATTGACATATTTAATACGGCATAGACTCTGTGCTAGGTTTAATTGTCATATTTAATACGGCATAGACTCTGTACTAGGTTTAGTTGTCATAGTTAATACGGCATAGACTCTGTACTAGGTTTAATTGTCATAGTTAATACGGCATAGACTCTGTACTAGGTTTAATTGTCATAGTTAATACGGCATAGACTCTGTACTAGGTTTAATTGTCATATTTAATACGGCATAGACTCTGTACTAGGTTTAATTGTCATATTTTATACGGCATAGACTCTGTACTAGGTTTAATTGACATATTTAATACGGCATAGACTCTGTACTAGGTTTAATTGTCATAGTTAATACGGCATAGACTCTGTACTAGGTTTAATTGTCATATTTTATACGGCATAGACTCTGTACTAGGTTTAATTGTCATATTTGATATGGCATAGACTCTGTACTGAGTTTAATTGTCATATTTAATACGGCATAGACTCTGTACTAGGTTTAATTGTCATATTTAATACGGCATAGACTCTGTACTAAGTTTAATTGTCATATTTAATACGGCATAGACTCTGTGCTAGGTTTAATTGTCATAGTTAATACGGCATAGACTCTGTACTAGGTTTAATTGTCATAGTTAATACGGCATAGACTCTGTACTAGGTTTAATTGTCATAGTTAATACGGCATAGACTCTGTACTAATGTTACGGCATAGACTCTGTACTAGGTTTAATTGTTATATTTAATACGGCATAGACTCTGTACTAGGTTTAATTGTCATATTTAATACGGCATAGACTCTGTACTAGGTTTAATTGTCATATTTTATACGGCATAGACTCTGTACTAGGTTTAATTGACATATTTAATACGGCATAGACTCTGTACTAGGTTTAATTGTCATAGTTAATACGGCATAGACTCTGTACTAGGTTTAATTGTCATATTTAATACGGCATAGATTCTGTACTAGGTTTAATTGACATATTTAATACGGCATAGACTCTGTACTAGGTTTAATTGTCATATTTTATACGGCATAGACTCTGTACTAGGTTTAATTGTCATAGTTAATACGGCATAGACTCTGTACTAGGTTTAATTGTCATATTTAATACGGCATAGACTCTGTACTAGGTTTAATTGTCATATTTAATACGGCATAGACTCTGTACTAGGTTTAATTGTCATATTTAATACGGCATAGACTCTGTACTAGGTTTAATTGTCATATTTTATACGGCATAGACTCTGTACTAGGTTTAATTGTCATATTTAATACGGCATAGACTCTGTACTAGGTTTAATTGTCATATTTAATACGGCATAGACTCTGTACTAGGTTTAATTGTCATAGTTAATACGGCATAGACTCTGTACTAGGTTTAATTGTCATATTTAATACGGCATAGACTCTGTACTAGGTTTAATTGTTATATTTAATACGGCATAGACTCTGTACTAGGTTTAATTGTCATAGTTAATACGGCATAGACTCTGTACTAGGTTTAATTGTCATATTTAATACGGCATAGACTCTGTACTAGGTTTAATTGACATATTTAATACGGCATAGACTCTGTACTAGGTTTAATTGTCATATTTTATACGGCATAGACTCTGTACTAGGTTTAATTGTCATATTTTATACGGCATAGACTCTGTACTAGGTTTAATTGTCATATTTAATACGGCATAGACTCTGTACTAGGTTTAATTGTCATATTTAATACGGCATAGACTCTGTACTAGGTTTAATTGTCATATTTAATACGGCATAGACTCTGTACTAGGTTTAATTGTCATATTTAATACGGCATAGACTCTGTACTAGGTTTAATTGTCATATTTTATACGGCATAGACTCTGTACTAGGTTTAATTGTCATAGTTAATACGGCATAGACTCTGTACTAGGTTTAATTGTCATATTTAATACGGCCACCTAGTAATGATAATATCAATTAGTTAGTAGTTAAAGGCCAGTTATGTTTGACATCGATAGGAATTATCGACGACAGCAGAAAACAGTTCAAGGCTTTACCTGAAACAGAAAATCTGATGTACTAGTGAATCAATTATTTATCTACTAAAACTTTATCTACAAAACAAACAGTACACGATTACTTTAGTATCAAATTACGCCACTCCTTGAGTCGGAAAAGTGTGAGAACCTCTGAAAGTGTTAATATGAAGGTGATTCAGAAAGCACGTGGGATATCGCTTGTGTTATCCATCTGGTAAACAACGGATCTATGGAAGAGGTTTTCAAATGTATAAGCGAAACATCTAATAATTTATCTGATTTTTTGAAGACTGCACAATGATAGCAGTGAAGTAAGAAGTGGCTGGTTATGTTCATTTTGGTACACATTCATCAATCGAGAAATATTTCTACAGGAAATAAAAACACTTTCTCAAATGTCAATGATCGTATTCAAATCACCATACCCATACCCGTTTTCACTCTTGATTTTTAAGCAAGATTTCAGGGCTGACATGTGCAAATTTCGGAATTGTTATTGATAAACATGGATTTCATAAAAGGTTATGAAATTTGTTTTTCCTCTCACATGGATATGTGACGTGAACATCACTAACTCCAACCATCACCCCAGCCCTACATCGAGATTTGTGATACATAGCGAACGTCGTCACATCTCTGTATATAAAGTTACCTGTAACTTTTCCTTGTAGCGGTTCCTCGATTTCTTTTGCATTCTCAAATAGTTTGTACATCGTTTCCTTTTAGATCTGAAACAAAAAAACTTTAATTACATTCAAAGGTATGACAGGAGAAAGTGAAATAAGCACAGGATGTGACGAACTCTAGAAAAGTTTGCAAATTTTGAAAAAGTGTTTTGTATTTTTACTAGTGTTGTTCATTGTAGGAGAGACTGATTTACAAGAAATTAATTAAATTCTCTCTCTTTTTCTTTCTTTTTCTCTTCCTTCGCATAATAATTGTATTAAATCATGTCGTCTTGTCTTGTTGATATGTATTTTGTCAAACTTTATAGGAAAGGGCTTAACATAAGTTAGAAAACTTGTGCCCAATCCTACCTGTATATTTGATACCAATAAAATATGTTTAAATCAAAGGAATTTATGTCTGCTGCAAACGAGAAATATTAAGTGATCATCATTGTAGTAGTGACCTCTCGTCCTACACATATTGTATGTTATAATCACAGACCTTCACAAGTACATAGTAGACGGTAATTGGTTATTTTTGTATAGTCTTCTGTTGGTTGCTACCTTAGGTATTATATATGACGTATACATAAATTTGATATATCTTAATGTAAGGAAAAAAAACTCAGTCAGATACAAACAAACAATAACGAACCAGGATAAGTATGTGCTTGTCATAAATCCTTCAACTTATTGTCAACATGGCTGACATATCTTAGGATGACGATGGCCAAGCGATAACAGAAAAGTGCAAATCGTTTATAAAAGACCTAGGAATTGTATAAACGTTTTCCACAGTATGGTGGGTGACTGTAGTACTGTAGACTGTAGTACTATAGAAAGGTTGGATATCAGTTAACTTTATATACAAATTGTACCTTGAAGCAAGACATCGGATAACATCGCCAGTTTGTAGGGACAATACAAAGCAAATAAGTTAGTCAAGTATTAGTTAACATCCCATTGTTACCAGCTAATATCCCGTCTGGAAGGTAACATCCCTTAGGACTAAAACTGATAGATCTACAAAAGGCGATGGTCAGACAGGTGCTCGCCCGCAGGCTTTATAATGACTTTCTATTTTTAATGATGTTGTCATTGCAAGAAGAAACTAATGCATTAGTTTTCATATTGAAATATATATATATATTTATTATTTCTATGGAATAATCACACTACAGATACCATATTGTCTCGTACGTCAACATCTGTATTGTAATTGAAGTAATATCATCCCGTTATCAATACATACAAAATCATATCTTTAAAAAAAAAAATAAAAACACACACACAAACACACAAACACACAAGCACACACATACACGGACTAAGCGTCTCATAACGAAATGAATTGAAATACCATCATCGAAAAGGAAAACATGAACATGTTAAACAATATTTATATTCATATTTAATGTAGTAATGTAAATATTGTGATATCGATGACATGGTGTACCAGGCTGTTCTGTGACGTATTTGTTACATTTTCTTCACGATCGGGTAAATCATTGATACAACGCTTGTCTTGTTATCTTGTGTCTTTACCTATTGTCACTATGATGTATTATTTTTAATGATAATTTGTTTGATTAAAAAAAAAATTTAAATACACCGAGAATTTTCCAATGACTTTAGTTGTATACTTGAGATAAATACCTTTTCACGGATTGAGAAATTGAAATGGCGAAATACATTAATGAGTTGTTATCAAGATATTAGACATAACTTAAAATATTACAGTCAATTTGGTATTACGTTTCATAATTCAATCAACAAAAATGTAAACAAACAGACAATAATTGATAATATGACAAGGATATATTTAGATAAAACAATATCTTTCTTTGAAGATTATAGAACCAGAATATTTTACTGTTGTAACTTATAGTATTATATATATAATATAGACTACAAGGGCTGAAATGATTTTATCATAATAAGAAAACAAACTTACGAGGCAGAATATCGTTCTTATCAGTCTCCTCCTTTGTCACCAAATAGTGTACTATCGGACAAATACTGTCACAACTCTAGCAATGACCATTGGCTATTTACGTCTGATAGAAGGTCAGCTTTCTGTTTCGTCCCTATGATGTTTTGTAAATACTGTAGGAAAGTAATTTTTGACATATTCAGGTCTCAAATGGTTTATGTAATAAGGAATATATCATTGAACGGACATTGTATTTTTTAGGTTTAATTCCACGGGTTAAAAATAGCACACAACGGATATACAAAGCTAACAATGCATCAGTAGAAATGTTCCTCATTAATCACATGATATGACATTAATAGATGTTTTAGGCCAGTGTTACCATGGCCAACATAGATGTCCAGTTCTAGTCAGTGTAACCACGGGCGACATAGATGTCCGGTCCTAGTCAGTGTTACCACGGCCGACATAGATGTCCAGTCCTAGTCAGTGTTATCACGGCCGACATAGATGTCCAGTCCTAGTCAGTGTTATCACGGCCAACATAGATGTCCAGTCCTAGTCAGTGTTATCACGGCCGACAAAGATGTCCAGTCCTAGTCAGTGTTACCACGGCCGACATAGATGTCCGGTCCTAGTCAATGTTATCACGGCCGACATAGATGTCCAGTCCTAGTCAATGTTATCACGGGCGACATAGATGTCCAGTCCTAGTCAGTGTTATCACGACCAACATAGATGTCCAGTCCTAATCAGTGTAACCACGGCCGACATAGATGTCCAGTCCTAGTCAGTGTTATCACGGCCGACATAGATGTCCGGTCCTAGTCAGTGTTACCACGGCCGACATAGATGTCCAGTCTAGTCAGTGTTATAGTCAGTGTTATCACGGCCAACATAGATGTCCAGTCCTAGTCAGTGTTATCACGGCCGACATAGATGTCCGGTCCTAGTCAGTGTTATCACGGCCGACATAGATGTCCAGTCCTAGTCAGTGTTATCACGGCCAACATAGATGTCCAGTCCTAGTCAGTGTTATCACGGCCGACATAGATGTCCGGTCCTAGTCAGTGTTATCACGGCCGACATGTCTATCCGGTCCTAGTCAGTGTTATCACGGCCGACAAAGATGTCCGGTCCTAGTCAGTGTTACCACGGCCGACATAGATGTCCAGTCCTAGTCAGTGTTATCACGGCCGACATAGATGTCCAGTCCTAGTCAGTGTTACCACGGCCGACATAGATGTCCAGTCCTAGTCAGTGTTATCACGGCCGACATGTCTATCCGGTCCTAGTCAGTGTTATCACGGCCGACAAGTCCGTCCGGTCCTAGTCAATGTTATCACGACAGACAAGTCTGTCCGGTCCTAGTCAGTGTTATCACGTTATCACCAACATAGATGTCCAGTCCTAGTCAGTGTTATCACGGCCAACATAGATGTCCAGTCCTAGTCAGTGTTATCACGGCCGACATAGATGTCCAGTCCTAGTCAGTGTTATCACGGCCAACATAGATGTCCAGTCCTAGTCAGTGTTATCACGGCCGACATAGATGTCCAGTCCTAGTCAGTGTTATCACGGCCGACATAGATGTCCAGTCCTAGTCAGTGTTATCACGGCCAACATAGATGTCCAGTCCTAGTCAGTGTTATCACGGCCGACATAGAACAGTGTTATCAGATGTCCAGTCCTAGTCAGTGTTATCACGGCCAACATAGATGTCCAGTCCTAGTCAGTGTTATCACGGCCGACATAGATGTCCAGTCCTAGTCAGTGTTACCATGGCCAACATAGATGTCCAGTCCGACACGGCTGACATAGATGTCCAGTCCTAGTCAGTGTTATCACGGCCGACATAGATGTCCAGTCATAGTCAGTGTTATCACGGCCGACAAAGATGTCCAGTCCTAGTCAATGTTATCACGACAGACATGTCTGTCCGGTCCAAGTCAGTGTTACCACGGCCGACATGTCTGTCCGGTCCTAGTCAGTGTTATCACGGCCGACATGTCTGTCCGGTCCTAGTCAATGTTATCTCGGCCGGATGTATCTGCTACTAACATGACAAAGAATTGCAGATTAAAAGCGGAACTACCAGGAAAATATCGTAACGCATTTCTCTCTATAGTTTACACTTTGCAGATTTTGTCCCTTGGAAAACATGTAGCAAACCATTCCAGAAAGACAAAACAGGCATCTCCAGTATAAAACCTCCTCCGGGATACCAACCTCAAGTAAACAGTCCTGTTATAGTCTCAAGAAAGCAATATAATTCAATGTTTCTATATTTTCATTGACAAAATAAATTTGATTTAAATTCCGTGTTGATACAATATTATGGGATAATACGTCCAATCCTGTTATACATTGTATCTACCAATTCAATGTCGTAACAAAAAAAATAGATAAAAAAAAATCATACAATTTCTGTTTTTATTTCAGAAATATCGCGTGGCACTAAGGACACATACACACTATTTTGTTGTTCTGTATTGGAAAAATTATCAACCATAACACCTCATATACAACCATAACACCTCATATATCACATTAATTAAAACCATTCAGCTCATTAAGTAAAACAAATCGCCACAACCGTAACGTTTTAAATACCATCACCATGATTGAAACCAATCAGATATTAGAAATGACATTCTAGTAAAAACCCTTCCGTTTTTACAGTGACGACTATACAGCAAGCCTACACCACTGTAGATAAATCGATATATGTCTATATGCAATCATCTATAAGCCAGTTTTCGCAGTTTGACAATTTTTCAGCCAGATATTATCACGTCGTCTACAGTCCTTTATATATACACAAAGAAATACTGTCAGGTTAATAAAATTCAAATTAATTCAAACTCGAATTCCAAGACGCTATGGCAAAATATTAACAAAAGAAAGATTCACACGGAAACTCCAGAAAAAGTACAAGGAGAATAAGACCAGGTGTTCCGGAAGAGTAATTATCTACCGTTTTATCGACGATATCAACCATGTATATGTTGGTCAATCCAAATAAGTTATGTTACATTCCTAGATGAGAACGAAGTAAACAACTGAGGAACCATCAGGTAAACAAATGAGTTTCAATTACTGTATAACTTTATATCACACAAGGACATCGAATATTTCCCTATGATCAACCTGCATCTCTCGAAACCCTGTGTTGTGAGTTTGTCATTGTATAATACGGAGACTGTGTAAATGAACTAACTTATACACTGTTTCATTCTTCGGGTTTTATAACGTCTTTACAAGTATATAACGTGTGGAAATTAACAACGAATCTGATATTAAGTCTTTTTAAGACAACTGCTTTAAATCTTCTCTTTTCTCATTTTATAGTCTCTTACGAAAGCCATGGAACGTGAAAACTTTGAAAGCGACACTATATTTGGTGGTCGGGTTTGATGGTTACAAAGTCTAAAATATATAAATATATACCTGACGTACCCCTTGTGACATTAGAGATAGAACTCCTAAACCAGTCAGCAAATAAAGCGAAGTTAAACAGCTTGCTATGTTGCCATGGTAACTGGTACTAGTGTTGTGTAATCCTGTCGCTACATCCGTTGACTTTTCACATAGAAGGGCAGACCGTGTGGTGGAGATAAGGAAAGGAAACACCATCCACAGCTTTACGTAGGAAATGGTGTTTTATTAGTGGCTCATATCTGTTTTCTGTTGAAGACATGGTGAAGAAGACAAGTAAGAGCAAGAAAGGGTGAGTATATTGTTGTAAGTCACAAGTACACGATAGATAATGTCCTCCAAGACATTTAATGTACGTGTGTATGTAAATACATATGTATACATTCTGATTTTGGTAGAAGTATTCAATTTTATTCATTAAAATGAATATTATGACAATGAAGAGTTTTAAAAACGGATAACTGACAATTCAAACTGATTTTAAAACATATCAGACACTCAGAATTCAGTTTTCTAATGGGTTTATTAGTTGTTGTTTTTTAATTGATTTTCTCGTGTCCTAGAACGCAATTAGTTTTCAAACACAATTGAGCTTTAACCGTTTTCGGTTACACTCAGAAATATTTTCAATGACAATGTTCGAAACTTTCGCGAAATTCCAGAAGTTGCGTTATAAATCGATCGTAAGTAATCGTATACTATAGAACTTGTGTTCGCTGTGTCCAAAGTCAATTGATAAAGATTTCGGAGTAAGAGGGTTCTACATTAGCTATTTGTGCAGTTTATCTAAAAAGGCAGAAATTCGTCTTCAATTTCAAGTGTACTTGATGTAGATGTGCCCTGAATACATGTATCTTGACAATTTGACATTTTTTGTATTGGAACCAGCGTCTCTATGACAGTTCCAGAAGTAATACTGTGATAAGATAAAAAATACAAAGTTAAGTTACAGTTGGTCAGTTACTCTTTTCTGATTAATGAAGCTACACATTGTAAATCTGATACATCGAATCAGAGGTGCATCTATGTTACAACATGGGATTTATAAGGGATCAGGTCACTATCCATACAAAGAACCATTATACGAAACAATTTGAATCAAGGTCGTTGAATATCAATAAGCCGACTTATACATTTTAACGAATGGCAACCTTGTAACCTTGAATATGGGTCAAGGTCATTACCTTTGACTGTAATTGTCGAGCTTCATCCCAGATATCAGGCGGTGACATATTATGATTCTGAGCTTCTCGGTGAATCTTTGTGAACGATTTAACAATTTTGACCCCTGTGACCTTGAATATGGATCGCAGTCATTTTTTTCACAAAGTGTGAAGGGTTTTATCACAGGAACCTGCAATTCATAGACCACGATCTGTGACATTTCATTTAATCAGAAGAATACGGTAGAGTGTTTTAACAAATTTGACCTCTATGAGCTTCAATATAGGTCTAGGTCATTTCTTTTCGCGATCTTTGTAGAGCTTCCTTACGGGAACCTATAAGCAAAACATCACAATTCGATATATTAAGGTTAATCAGAAATATTTTGAATTTTAATCCTTGTTAACTTAAGTGAGTCTCGGGATGATATCTTAAATGAGTCTCGGGGGTGATATCTTAAATGAGTCTCGGGGGTGATATCTTAAATGAGTCTCGGGTGATCTCTTTAATGAGTCTCGGGGTGATATCTTAAATGAGTCTCGGGGTGATATCTTAAATGAGTCTCGGGGGTGATATCTTAAATGAGTCTCGGGGTGATATCTTAAATGAGTCTCGGGTGATATCTTAAATGAGTCTCGGGGGTGATATCTTAAATGAGTCTCGGGGTGATATCTTAAATGAGTCTCGGGTGATCTCTTGAATGAGTCTCGGGTGATCTCTTAAATGAGTCTCGGGGTGATATCTTAAACGAGTCTCGGGTGATCTCTTAAATGAGTCTCGGGGTGATATCTTAAATGAGTCTCAGGGTAATATCTTAAATGAATCTCGGGTGATCTCTTAAATGAGTCTCGGGTGATCTCTTAAATGAGTCTCGGGGTGATATCTTAAATGTCTCTCAGGGTAATATCTTAAATGAGTCTCGGGTGATCTCTTAAATGAGTCTCGGGGTGATATCTTAAATGAGTCTCGGGTGATCTCTTAAATGAGTCTCGGGTGATCTCTTAAATGAGTCTCGGGGTGATATCTTAAATGAGTCTCGGGGTGATATCTTTAATGAGTCTCGGGGTGATATCTTGAATGAGTCTCGGGGTGATATCTTTAATGAGTCTCGGGGTGATATCTTAAATGAGTCTCGGGTGATCTCTTAAATGAGTCTCGGGGTAATATCTTAAATGAGTCTCGGGGTGATATCTTTAATGAGTCTCGAAGTGATATCTTAAATGAGACTCAGGTTGATTTCTTAAATGAGTCTCGGGGTGATATCTTAAATGAGTCTCGGGTGATCTCTTAAATGAGTCTCGGGGTAATATCTTAAAAGAGTCTCGGGGTGATATCTTTCAAAAGATATTGCCGACCTTCATCATACAAATAATCAATTTAGATATCTTTATCACAGGCCCTTGTAACATTGTACATTAAGATCAATTCATTTCGTAAACTTTGTCTAGCTTTACACCAGGGACAAACCAATGATCATGATTCTAGGCCTTTAAGTTCAGCAGGAGTCGTTGTAGTGTTATAATAAATTTGACCCCCTGTAAATACTGGTCAATGACATTTTTACGCAAACTTTGTTAAAATCATCTCTGGTAGCTTCCAACCAAAAGTGATGACTTGTTGCCTTTTGGTTTTTGAGAAGAAGCCGTTTAAGGGTAAAATGTTACACCGAACGGACTGATGAGCAAGGAGCGTCGCTCTCACTTTTACTTTTCGAGTCTAAGGAGAAACAGAACAAAGCCATGAAACATCGTTAAATTCTCGATTACAACAGTTTAATAATCTCTTTTTGAATTCCGTATACCAGTAGAAATTTAGTGTTTGTAGTGGTATAATAATTGTAACTATGACAACCTGTTTTTAAACTCGACATTTAACGGCTGCACGATCTACTGATTGTTTCAACATGACCTTTTTCTCAGGTTCGAAACGTGTGATAAACTAACTCGACTGTTATGAACAATTTTCATCTGCCGCTCCTTATATCACTCACGTTAATTCTATACTACCAATAAACGCTTTCCATAGTAATCGCCTATCATCTTGCATACCACTTGCATTAGCCATACATCTATCATCAGAAATAATAGTCAAGCCATGAAAGACAAAATATCTAAAGCGTGGTAAATGAAGAAACGCCTGTGAAAAACAATTTCAACAAAAGCCGTTGTCGTTGGAAGCATGGAAATATCTAATGTGAACGAAAAAAATAAAGAAAATCAAATTGAAATATTACTGCGAATTTATTTTCTCAGTCCCAGTACCTCAAACGAACAGGAATGCGTCGTAGAGCTAGTGTCCAAGTCCAAACAAAACACCTTTTTTGCCTTACCTACGCCTTCCAATGATGACTTACCGGAGGATGAGAATCCTCAAAAGAAAACCGGTAAGTTCTTGATATACGAGATTTCAACTGTTACCAATCTCACATTTTAATATCCTCAGACAGAATTTCCCGATGTTTTTCATTTTTCTTCTTTTTCTTTCCATTTTCATTTATGTTATGAATGGAACAAATCGTGAAAACAGATATTTTGAAAATATGATTAAGAAATGAAAAGGCATCATTTTGCTTTAAGGTTTTAGTAAAACTACGCAAATTTGGATTATCGTATACCTCTTTTGAATATCTTAATATGACATTTTGAATTCCATGACGTGGTAGACGTTCTTCTTTCACAGGTTTTAACACAAGTAAGCGGTCACAGTTGATCAAGATGTTGTGTCTGACCTTGCTGCCGATCCTCAGTCTGATGGGTTTCACACTTTTCTCTCTCACCGATACAATCAACAAGAAAATGGAAAATGAAAAGGTGAATAGTGGATCTCTATTCAATTTACAATGGAAATGTGTTAGTGAATGTGAAATCTCCGTTACATTCACATTTATGAAATTATGGAAAAGTTAAGTTTTAGCGAGCTTATGGCAAAAACCTGCACGCTGCCTTAGGTGGTACTCCAGTTTAATCCGGATTTTCTTTAAATGATACTGCAAGGAATACGACTTTATATTCATAAAAGGGAAAATCCGTTTTGATTAAAGAACAAAAAAAAAAAAAAAGAAAGAAAAGAAAAAAAGTGAAAAATAACCCTTCTGAAACTGATAGTCCCTAAATTATGGCCGAGTGTATATTTTAAGAACGTTTTTACCATCAAAGAAATTGGGAAAATATTCTCTAAAATCGTTTTCATTACAGTACACAAAATGCGGGGGGGGGGAGAGAGAGAGAGAGAGAGAGAGAGAGAGAGAGAGAGAGAGAGAGAGAGAGAGAGAGAGAGAGAGAGAGAGAGAGAGAGAGAGAGAGAGAGAGAGAGAGAGAGAGAGAGAGAGAGAGAGAGAGAGAGTAATTACAAATTACATGTACCATAAATAACCTTATTTAAATATTACCATCAGGGTCGACTTCTTTCATTCACAGACCCGTAAGGAACTACAACTAAGTGTAGAACTCGGTAATCTGATTCACCGACTACAACAGGAAAGAGATACAAGTGTCTTGTACCTCAGCGCTCTGGGACCGGAAACTAAAACGTTCTTGTTGCAAGAATACATAGGCACTAACAACGCAATATATGCCCTGTCAGAATGGCCGAGAAACCTCGACACCGATAACAGAGAGGAGTTCGAATCTCGGGACAGACTCCGTGAATACCTTGTTAGACATCGACAACTTCTGACCAAGGTTGAATACAATCTACAAGTGGAGATTGACTTTTACACAAATATCATCCGTGTTGTGATCGCCTGGCTGTACGATTCTATAACACGTGGGAAGGATGCCGAGGTTTGGAAAACTCTTGTTGCATACCTTAAACTAACAAGTGGGAAACAAGATGTGGGGATAGAAAGGGCTCTCGGAACTCTCTTCTTCGTGCAGGGAGGATTTGAGACACGTGTCTCTAACCAGAATTACTTTGAGATGTATAACACAGTTATTTATAGATTCCGTGCGTTTTACGAAACCGCCGAACTCTATTCAAATAGAGTTGATCGCTTGTACTCTTCTGGAGTAAGCGAAGCCGGAAGTGACTTGATTGCAATTATAGATGGATTTCGGTTCGAAATACAACACTACGACAGCGAGGTTTTCTACCCAGATATCCAGAAAGCCCGTTATTGGTTTGATAATATGACTCTTTATTTGGATACATTGTTGAAAATTCAGCAAAATTTGGGATTTGAAATCATCGGACGACTCGACGTTGTTATCGACGATTCAACCCGTGACCTCTCCATCAGCGTGTCTTGTCTAGTCATAGTTCTGATTATGTGTCCGTTGGTCATTTTTGTCGCGGATAATCTTACGAGCAGTATACAAAGGTACGCGTTAAGGTTGGTCTCAACGACTAAACAGCTCAGCGAGGAACATCAAAAGATAAACTCTCTTATTTACCAAATGGTGCCAGAAGTTGTAGCAAAACGATTCGAGAAAGACATGTTTGGAAATGCTGAGAATATTAAGTCAATGACAGTCATGTATTTTGACGTGCATGATTTTGCCGCTCTGACGTCATCGTGTTCCACTAACGTCGTTGTGGAGCTCCTAACAAATCTCAACAACGCGATAGAATCACTGGTAGAAAACAACGAAGCATTCCACGCACAAACATTTAAAGATAGCAGCATGATTGTAGCAGGTATGTTATTATTGTTATCATAAGAGAAAATATCTGTTTTGGAAATATGGATGTGTCTTTCCTTTTCTGTGATTCTTTACATTATCAATTTATTTGTTTGAAATGATATTTTCCATTTCTGTGGGGAGAATTTGTAGCATGGAAATATGGACTACAATTAAATTAAGTTTTTATATCAGGATGAATAAATTGTTGAATTGATAATTGATTATTTCCATTTATGTTTTGAATCTATCTTCAGGTATGGCTGGACGTGAAGATGATCGGCATATGCAAACTATAGCAGATATCTCTCTGGAGCTGCTCCAACTGGTACATGAAAGTCCCTTTCTCTTACCAGATTTCGGACCAGTGCAACTCAAGATCGGAATCAATACGGGTACTTAGTATTTTTCATGTATGTTGATAATCATAATCATAAATAAACAGCTGACCATACACTGACATCGTTATTTCTCAGGTTGAATGACTTATTTACCAGATGATACAAGGAGACTCCGTCGTGCATATCAAATGTTTGTGCATGTCATAAATGTAGATACATTTGCAGTGATAACTGCTTTAACAAAAGTAATGTGGAGATTGAACAATGCAAATTATTGTTTTATTTCTTTCCTTCTTTTTCAGGCTCTGTAATGTCAGGTATCACAGGCAGAAAAATACCACGTTACAGCATTTTCGGAGAGATGGTCAATAAGGCATTCCGTATGAAGAATTCCAGTAGACGTAATCCATCCTTTATTTCTTTAATTGTATCAACTTATCTATATATATATTTCATTTATTATCATCTTATGTTCTCTTGACGATGAAATTGTTCCGAAAAAGTAAGTCATAACATTTATTCGGTATTTAATGCTTAATTGGTTTATTTGTTTGTTCAGCTTTTAAACCAATGTCAACAAACTAGAAAGCAAAAAAGGAAAACATAACTCATTCGTTTTTATTCACAAAAAAAAATAAATAATTAAATAAATTTACGTCCCTGTTTATTTTCTTCTTTTGTTAAAATCACAGTATAACTTGTTTTCAGTGGTTAAGTATCGCACAATACAGACTTAGCCAATGAAACTCTTGTTTTAAGTAAGGCCAAACAACATGTTTTTATTAAATGAAATGTTTTTGTTACTGTGATCTTAAAGTTGTTTTGTGAGTTGTTATATACCATTTCAGCCAGTAAGTAACATTATACAGGTATATAACATAAGTTTGACATACTTGGTGTATATAATGATATACATTGGGGTAATAAATACCGACGTTTTGTTATATTGTATATATAGTGCGAATTTTCTACCTGTAAAAATTATGTAAATAAATATTATTTCAGCCAATCATATACATCTGACGTACTCATCGTTCAGTGTGCTACAGAAGGAAGGGGTGTACATGATGCAGAGACGAAGTAAATACAACGAGTCAAGCATCGGAAAGGTATCTATAAATAGACTACTTTATTTCCTTAATAATATTTTTCAGAGAATACAAATGCTTATATTAAGCATATATTATACAAATGAAATTAAATTTTGTATTTACACTCTTAAAATATGCCTATATGAGAAAAGACAAATATTCATAACAATCATAATAGGGTGGTTTCGTTGCAAGGTATATTGCAACGAAACCACCCTACACCAGGCACTTTAAACACGTCCAACTTCATGTCGTACAACGAAATAGAATAGCTCTCAATGTGACCATTAAAACATCCCCAACACGCTTCATCAACCTTCATCTCTCGAAACCTGTGTTGTGGGTACATCAACTGTTAACACTCTGCATGATATTGAGAACAAGCCTTTGAATATTGAATCAAGTTTGACATGCAAACATCATAGGTTAGGAAGGAGGCATGTTGCTTTCCAGAAATGGCAAATAAATTCACAACAGGAAAATCTAAATCGTCAAGCTTGGTGGAAAATTTTCTATGCTGGACATCATCAACTTTAACTAAAAACGAAATTAAAGGACATTGCAATCAAGAGAGAGTCAATTTATAAAGAAAAAAACTTAAAATTTATGATAGCATATTTAATCCGTTATGGGTTTAGACACATGTATACAAATTATATATGTATGTATACAGTTTCGTTAGTAACGCTAAAAGGTAAAATTTCCAGAAAATCATATATAACATTGTAGAAAGGTTAAAAATTAGAGAAATTAACAGGAAACGTATATGCTCCTAATTGACAGCACTACACTTTTTGGGGTTTTTTTTTCCTCCAAAAGACCATGTTATATTTTGCAGGGAAAAGGAAAAGTTAAAACATACTGGTTGATCGGGAAGAAAGACACTTGTTTCTTTAGATGCAGTGATGATGAAACCTTGGATGAACAGGTGTCTAAACAACGATCGGATGTAGAATATCCAGGAGAGTTGGCCCAGTATGAAAAAGACACCAGCTATAAATTACCTCTTCAGGTAATCACACCACAAGAAGTCACCGAAAAAAGTTTGCAAAACGTGAAAACTAGTGAGAGTAGTTAATAAAAGATTTGATACAATGTTCGCAAATAAAGGTAAATAACTCAAAGCAAACAGCAAAAATTGAAAAAAATAAGAAGAAAAAAATGAATGCACTGTTATCGAGCATGGAAAATAGGAAATAACCTTATGATTCAGCATTGAAGGGAAAACATCAGGCACAAGGTTTCTAGGAAATGTGTATTTTATTTTCAACGGATAAGGAGATACAGGAAAAATTTAACCTTTGGCTTATTGAAATATATTTTTATTATTTAAGGATATAAGATGGTTGCTTCCTGATATTATCAGTGAATGTTTGAAAAAGAATGTGAAACGTGAAAATTATATCTCATAGCAAACAAAGAATTTTTTTAAATAAGAAAATAAAAAAATGAATATACTGTTATCACGCATCGAAACTAGGATATTACCTTATGATTCAGCAATTGAAGGGAAAAAATATCAGACACAAGGTTTCTAGGAAATGTGTATTCTATTCTCAGCGGATAATGAGATACAGGAAAAATTTAACCTTTGGCTTATTGAAATATATTTTTATTATTTAAGGTTGCTTCCTGATATTATCAGTGAATGTTTGAAAAAGAATGAAGACCTTACTTTATGGCATTGTCTACACTTTGAAGTATTATAAAATCCTAATAAAATCATAGTTCGGTTCTCTTTATGAACGTATCATGCTGAAGTACAGGCAAAACCTGGCGCTTCTTTTATCGATTAAATAACAGAGAAATCCGTTGATTGTATAATTACTGGTTTGTAACAATATAACACTGTCATGTACTGGAGCCGGAGAGAGAGTAGAATGACGTATTATTCATGATTATCTTACTGCTTTCGAATGACTGAACTGAGTGTATGTTTTACATTTTATACACTGCTTTTAGTATACTTCCTGCTCCAGCAACATGTTCAAAATCTCCCTACTTCACAAGTCACCGGTTGTATTGAGCAGTTTATTATCCCGTTGTGTAACACAGCATGTTTATACACACATAAAAATATATTTCTATTTTAATTCATTGTTACAAAACAAAACAATATTTTTCATGTGAGATTTCGCCTTTGCTACACATACTTCATGTTTGAAATAAATATGTCCTTAGTGAAATCAAACATGATACGTCATGCATTTGGGCCCGGCTGTTGTTAGTTTTCTTAAAATTGATAGAGGAATGATATATATTCAAATTCGTACGTTGCCCAAATTTGGTGAATCATTTTATACGTAATGGATATGTGAATGTATTTTTGATATAATTCCAAATACATTGCTGTTGATCTCTGTAAATTTTTTTGTCATTGTAGCTATCATGTACGTCATTTTGTCATACTTACAACTCACTGCGTTATCTAAATGTGACGAAAAGGCATTAAAATCAAATCTATCTTGCTAAAATGTGTCTTATAATCAACTTAGAATGAGTTTTTCTGCCATTCTGAAGTATGATAATTTTCAGGGAAACAAAACTGATGTGTACTTCTAAACGACTGCAAAATACACCCAAAATTTATATATATAACACTACCCTTGTCTTCTAACTTTATTTTTGGGTGGAGGGGGGGAGGGGGGTTTGTTTAGTGGATGGAGGAATATAAATTAAAGTCTACGTTTTCACTCAACACAAATCCTACATGCAACCATTAAATATCGAAGATGTTAATTATGAGAACATCTTATCGAGATGTGACTTAACTGTTGTCAAATACACGGTTTACAATGTCGTTTATAATTATCAATGTCAGGCTTGATATCATTGTACTGTGATCAATGCCTTTTAGACGGAGTTACGTTATATAATTATCAATGTCAGACTTGATGTCGGGGTGTCATTGTACAGTGAGCAATGCCTTTAAACGGAGTTACGTTATATAATTATCAATGTCAGACTTGATGTCATTGTACACTGAGCAATGCCTTTAAACGGAGTTACGTTATATAATTATCAATGTCAGACTTAATGTCGGGGTGTCATTGTACAGTGATAAATATCGTAATAACGGAGTTATATTATTTGATTGTTAATGTCGAACTTCATAGCGAGATATTACTTATAATTGTACGGCGATAGATATTGTTATATTATTATTACTGTCAGATTTAACATCGAGGAGTTAATGTTCAGTATAAATTAAAAATCGTTATAATTGTTGATGTTGGGCATTATACTGATGTATATATTTAGAGTGATATAAAATGAACATTGTGTAATACTTTATGTTGGACATTGTATCGAGTGTAATAGAACAGTGATAGATATCTTTATAACGACGTTATATTACGTAATTAAGTTACAATGTACGATAATTCATGATGGACGTTAGTGTAATGGGAATAGAGATGAAGGTGATTTCATATTGAGATGATACCGTATAGCGGTGAATTAAGAATACTTTATAACGACTAGACTACACAGTGATCAAAGTTGTATATTACATCAGGATTGTGATGTATAATGTATAATGATCAAAGTGGGTTATGATACTGCAGTTGTAGTTATTGTAGTTAATCATTTATGAAAGTTGGACGATGTCAAACCTTATAACTTTATGTATTGGAAATATAATATAAAATCATTATTGAGGTCGATGTCATTTTTCGAGGATTAAAAAAATTCAGTAAGTTAAATATATATGTTTATAGAAAATAACATTTTGTCATTATTTTCGAAAATGGGAATCGTAACATTAACATAGTAATGGGACTGTATGTCGTGGTGATGAAAGACAAAAACATTATGACGTCATGAATGATATTCAGGTTACCAGATCAACGTAGACATTTCTATAACGACATCATGTCTATAAATACATTTATTGAGTGTAAATGAGTAGACAGTCGACACTACAGTGTTTTGAGACATAAATTACGACATTTTAGATTCCTGCTGAACAACTGAATTTTAGAATATCTGGCTGTTGTTGCTGTTTTTTGGTTCTGTTTTTCTTGTTCCAGACTTACACTTTATCATGTTTACATTAAATATAGATATAGATTTGTACGATCATCATATGTGTTACTATTTGTTTCCTCTGTGTAATGTAGAATCTTCTGATAAGGAAATAAAAGATAAAAAGTTACATAAAGTCTTTAATTTTGAATTTGAATTATTAACACAGTCGACATATTCAACTAACATAGTCGTGTTTAATATAGTATATTTGGTAGAAGTTTTTAATTTAATGAATTAAATACCTTATTGCATCCAATCACCAGCATGGAGTTTACTAACAGAAGAATTCTGTTGACATGTTGGTATTGTCTTTGTTCCTCACAAAAGACATACTTACTGTAAAAGGTGTTTTTCGCAGGGTTCTTATTTTCGCTTTTTCGAGAATTAATTTTATCGCATATATTAGTTACCTTGTTACTAAAGTTATAAAATTGATAGTTTTTCTGACTTATTTTCGTGGTGGAAGGGCTTCTTAATTTTCTTTTGTTCTTTTTAGTAACAGATTAATAATGTTAAATGAAGTTAAATGTTTGTTTAATTCATTATTTGGCTCTATCATATCTAAATTTGTGTTAAAAGACGTGATAAATTTGTGCGTCTTTTGTACACTTTTCAAACCCTTATTTTCAAAAATAACGAAAATCTAAAAGATGGAAAAGAACAATATTTCAATGGTCTTTTCCATAAATCACATGTAGTTCTCACAGATAAGGAGACAGACTTAGCAGCAAGGTTTTCATTAATGCTTTGTACGGAAGGATGACGTTTTATGAAAACCTATACCCAAACTGTACGACCATTAACATCAAAACATTGTTCCCTGGTGTTTCTTTCTTAAACCCCGAAAACGTTGGGGTTAAACAATTTCTGATGTAGCAGAGTCAGGGACATATTTCCACACATAACATTGCTAATTGCATTCCATAAGGTGTTTGAAGGTATATTTGTCAAACAACCACTTAATGCTAGCGTTTGTAGAATAGGATCAGTAAGTATATCAAGGTAGTGTACGTTTAAGGATCTAAACTCTTGAATATAGCAGTTTCATCAAGATTGCTCAAACGACACACAAGTAAATAGCACATTTAAATACAAATTTGGAGATAGATACAGTAGAGCCAAAATGTTAATTAAACTGTAACATAGAGCTGCTTCGACCTTCTAGGACTCGTCAGCGATGCTAAGGGCGTAAAATTTTAGTTTGAAACTGAGGATAATCGTGAAGCAGAAGATGAAAAATTGTACATGGGGCCCCTTGAAAAAGCACAAGGAATTTAAGACCAGGTGTTCCGGAAGGGACTTCTGCTTCATCGAAGATATTCATGTGTAAATTTTTGTCAATTCAAGTAAGTAACGTCTCAAATAAGAACCAGCTAAACCATAACGAAACCACAAAACGGCATCGAATACATCTATCTCCATATTTCATTAATGTTCCTATAGAAAAAAAAAACAAATATTTTCAGAGACTGATCAGTTAAGTCGCTCAGATGCTCTTCGCAGCTCTTCAAATACACTGTATTACCACACCTCAGGAGATCAAATGCAATGAAACCCTGCGCTTTATATTGAAAGATTAATATTTTATATTTCTTATTTACATTTCTTCTGTTAACATTCAGAACATGACCCACAATAAGCAAATATAACTCGTTTTCAGTATCTAAATAAAGAAAATATAAAGTAGTTTAAATGTCCTTTACCTTAATACTTCATACAACTGTGAACTAATTTCAGGTATTTTCCTCGGGTATACGGCACAAGCTTACGTCTTAAACCAAAATCGGATTTAGATTAGATGTCAAAGCAGCACTACAGTTAAAAAAGAAAATGCATGTGTGATATCTCTCTCATTGCCTTTTTTATCACACTACATGCTTTGGTTGTTAATCTAGGACTTAGAACCTGGGCGGAAGGGTTATGTTTTGAACACAACAGAAATTACCCACTAACTGAGATAGAATAATGTATTGGACTATATTGAAACTGTATTTTATCGTTCTACTTTCATCTACGACAGGTTTTGATAAAGGTCTTCCTGAAGTTCAC